TAGTAAAACTCATCCTTGATCGCATCCGGGCTGCAATCTGTCGGGGCATAGGCGGAGATGACGAAAAGACATCGTTTCTCACGCCTATTTCTTCTCACTTTGATGGAACTTCTTAATCTAACAACACATAACCAACTGTTAATGGGGATCCAATCGATTAGTGCTGCCCCATCTCTAGCGCTTAGTGCGACAGCAACGCCAGCAAAACCAGACGAAGATACTACAGGGTCCTCGAATAAACGCACGTAAAACAAGCTTTTCGGAGCGATAGATGGGGAGTGGATTTGTAGTACTTCACTAGAGTCTTGAATACGGGTCTCGGATAGACAACAGACGTTGATATTAAAACTTTCTAAAGACATAGCCAACCCTATCTGTTGTCCAATCTGTATTAGTGCGCGGACGTTGAAAGAAACCGGTTTGAATGGTGCACATGGTTCCAGAAAAAACTGCTTCAGTATTCGTATTTGGTGGTAGCATACAATTCTCAACCAGGCAGTGACTCGAGAACGTTTAGATAGAACCGAGTTTCCACCATAGGCGAGCTGCTGTATAAGTTGAAAAATAAAGATACACAAAGTGGGAATAAAAGAGTATATAAGTGACTCAGTATATAAAAAATAAAAATGAATGTTGGCAAATGGATATGAGTTGTCTGAATTTTAATTGGGAAAAGAACAGTACTTCTAGTAAATATTGTCATTTTATTTGCGTGTGGGCTGTGATACTGCCCAGGAGCCCAAACCGAAGCAGGTGGATTTCTTGGGGGGCCAAACCCGGACCCTTTGACCTAAAGGTTTAATCCACAAGGTAGTGGAGCAACTACTACGCATTTAAATCTAAAAAATCATTGAGTTCATCGCAGTTCTCATTAAGCCAAGTGTATTGATTTAATAATGGCTTATATCCGATTATGCTACTTAACGCATATGTGAAAGACTATGTATGATTCATGACCTAAGATTCAACCATGTGTCTATAAAATGGGGACCACCAAAAAGAGAATGTATGCGGCTCGCTTTGTTTCTACAAGAAATTTTGGCAACGAAATGTTCGCAAAACGAATACACAGTTTTAAAGAAAGTCCAAATACCACAGGTCCTTTAAAATCTGACTGGAATCTGGTATTCATAAAAACGTGATTATTCGATGCAAATACATTTCCATATAGGCATCCCACTACTGCTTACGTGATGCAGTCAAAGTATAAAAGGAATGCATTATTTAATTTGTGGGGTGAATTTTTCATACCAATGTTTAATGCTGTTTGAGCTTGGTCTACTACGGTTCTTGCTATTATTTTCAACGTTATACGTGTACAAGTAAGAAGAGCATCTGATGTCAATAATCACAAGTGTGTCATAGTCTATACTGTGGTACATAGCAAGTGATTGCGATAGTAAAAGACCGAATATGGTTGATAGGGTGTTATAGAGATAGCTGTACTTTTAGTACTTTACATACTTATTTCTCCTTCCACGCTGTGGGGAGCTGGAAAGTGACAACCACCCCCATACCTATAATAGCACTAGAATTCCTGTTGTTCATTGTCAGAACCTTTGGTACTCCTTCTACTCTCATCACCGATCCTACTCCTACGACTTTATGCTTATTTACCACCAATGTTAAATATTCGGGTCCACGAGATGTTATTACTGGTTTCTTGGAACCGAGTTCTAAATTACATATTGGAGCTCTCAGCATTTTGATCAAATAAGCCAACAGGATTCCTTAGCTAGGACCCTAGAATCCTGTGCTATTGATGTATAATGCATCTCCGAAACACATGCAGGATCCAAGTGTGGTCATTTACTTGACCTGACCCAGTCAATACAGAGAACCTGCACGGTTTATCCTCCGTGTATCTGGAGACCCCACTGGCGCAGGTAAAGCACGAAGTCGAAAAGCGGGACGGGCTCTACCTGAAACGATTCAGACAAACAATTGCTTGCTCGCTGCCCGACTAAATAGGAAAGCAAGAACACAGAGAGATAAAGAGACAACCCATCGCCTTCACATCACAGCGTACGCTTCCGCCGATGGCAAGTCGAATGAGTTTCTTAGGAAACTTTAAGGACCTAGCCCACTGCGAAGTATCAGCTATAGATCCGTGTGTGACCGGTCTCAAATATTTATCCATTCGGATTGATTTAGGCCGCCAGAGGCTTAAGACCTCAATTAACAAGATCAGCTTATCAGAACCTTGAAGGTGAAGTGTAATTCCGTGGTGTAAGGGACAAAGATCGAAAATCGCTTTCAGATTTGAATTTTTCTGACTAAGGAAGTAAGAACACTAAACGATAGAAACACAATATATCGCTTCCCCACCACATGACCTACGCTTCCGAATGAGGTAAAGAATGAGCGTAGACTGCAAAATATCTACGTAATTATCGTGGGTAGCGGTGTGAGGTTAGGCAAGGGCGACCGGAAAGGTCAATGAAATAGGCAACATTAAACAGCTTTTCGGACTAATCAGGAGACTAGGCATTAAATATTTCAGAATTAGCGAGACTACTTCTGAAGAAAAGGGTGCTATTATTAACTATCAATCCAGGATACTAGGGCGATGGATAGAATAGTTTGAAAACAGTTCAGTTGCTTTCCAGCTATCCTTTGATTGCCTACTCCCACCGTAACAACATGAATGTCATGCCGTCATAACCACCGGACTTTGTGATCGTCCCACTTTATTAAATATGACAAAAGCCCTTTTGTGACAACCACAGAGGAACCAGTTTAAATAATATAATGTCTAAAACACTGCCTAGATAATCGTACTTGTCTACTATAAGGCAGCATTTCGTCCTGCAGATCAACAGGTTTTTTTGGAAGTATCTGACATTAAAAGACACACCAAGGACGTACATGCTCTCTACTCTAGATACATCGAGGGTGAATCATGCTCTCTATATTCATCAAAGACTGAATGACATGGCTTAGAAACGTTCGCAAAGGCGCAGGTTCATCCACTCTCTCTTCCTTTAAATACTGAGTTTCTAAATTCTTCATAAATTTCTTTTTATCATTTCACTAATTTGAACTTCTCGAATTGTGTCTTGGATGCTCAACCTTTCCTATTACCATTGGTGCTGTTATTACCTCTACTACTCTGCGATTTGCCTTGACAATTTCGTCACCCTGTGTTATTGTGGTATGGCAGCTTGAATCGACGTACAAGTGTGACAAGTTCTACGTTGCATTTGACTGATTATCTACCATAAGACTCGTTTGTTAATTACTCTGGATCAAATCGCTTAGATACGTTGTTGTTAAACACCAATTTCTGATTTTATTATAGTGGCCGGATACTACTTCAAACAACACCCGCTCACTTGGTTAGCCCCTTAGATAAAGCGCTTCGAGAAGCCTCTACAGTTGATGGTGTTCTTGAGCTGCAAAATGAGCACATATGGTCGATTGGATACAAGGACCTTGCAGGAAGTTTGTATGTTCGTGTTCGCCGGGATGCTAATGAGCAGTTGGTTCTAGCACACGTAACCAACCGTCTTTCCAGTTTGGTGAAATATTTAACAATACAGGTGTGTGGTTTTTTTCCTGATTAAATATAAAATGGTTTCATCTGTGTCAGTAAAAATTAGATTTCAACTTGAATTCACTCAAATCCATCTGGATAGCTAGAATATTATCTACCATAGTCACATAACATGTACAATGCGAATCCTAATATTTATTCCATTTATTTAAACGCATAAACATTGGTACAAGAGGACACCAAATATATATGCGCAACACAAATCATTCAATTCGTGTGGGGGCCACTCCGCGAGCATTTTACCCGAAGGTTTAATTCACAAGGCAGCAGAGCAACGTAAGGAGATGCGGTCTCATGGTAGCCGGTCACCAACAATAGGTTCATACACCTTTTGTTCCATCAGGATACTGGAGCCCATGTACACCATTGGAATCAGGGTTTTCCAACTCCTCTAGGTGGACTCTCCGTATCCACCAACCCAGTTAAAGCATCTGACATTCGCTTTTCGTCCTCCCAATTTCATAAACAACAGTAATTCCGCGAGAATGCAGTGAGTAGGACTTCTCTGGAAGTTGTCGTATGCACGTGGCCATGTGAGAGCATTTCGAGATGGAGAGCTGACTCTCTCCACTCTCGGCCGTACTAGGGCATTTGGAGGCGAATCCTAATAAATGAAGTTGAGATGAAATACTAAGCTTCACACGGGCTAACGGTCTTTGTAGTCATACCTCAATATTGTCTGGAGTGTCCCTCATATACACTGATGTATGTTCCTAAAGCTTTCCATGTTAGGTAAGATTAGCTTTTGGTGTTAGTCGATGATGTTTATGATTCTCTTAAGTAAACGAGTTATTTAGGAAAGTCTCAATTATGGAATTATCATCTAGCTCTTCAATAAACAAATTCAGACAATGTATCCGTCTAAGTAGTTATATTTCATTAACCGTGTAACAGATTGAATAACTCGTAAAAGTATGTTCAGCAGAAAATAATACTAACCAGTTAATGAAAGTTATGGATTAATAACAACAGGCAGTTATTTAGAAAATCGAACAATATATGTAATTTAAGAAAATGCATCTCAGTTATTTAGTATTAAAAAGGGAAGTTTTCTGCAATTTTAGGTTTATAAAGATGACTGGACGCGAGCAACAAACTCGTTTATCATGAATTGGTCACCCGCGAACAACGCACTGTATAATCAGAACATTCCTGGTACACAAGTTAGACCTGATCTAAAGCATAATCTACCGTCATCTTTACCTGCATCAGCCTCACATCACAAAACGCAGGCAGACAGTTATCAGGAACCTCAAGTTAATCCTGATCATTATATCTATGCGTAAACGTTTATCTCTTAACAGTTAGTTGATTGGAGCAAATGATCTCTTTTACACAAATTAACATGGTTGAGTATTTCACTTTTATTGTTGTATTAACATCTCGAAAAATTATAAAAAGAGCAGCGTATTTCAAAGTTATTATCTGGTAACTTGGATTAGTTTTAATTTCGTTTGATCAAACTTCCAACGGGGGGAACAGATAACTTAACAGATTCTGAGGATGTATCATGGGGTTGAACGTTGGTAGGAATACCTGTGTCCCATTTACTTGGTTTTTTTGGTTCTGTAAAATAAAAGTATGATAATTTGAATCAAGAATACAAAGTTACATGAAAAGGATTCTGAGTTTTGAGTTATTAGCAATATCGATCTGTCACTATAATCATTGTGGCTAGTAGACTTTATAACGCTCAAATTACACTTTCGAAGAACTGTGTTTATTGATTACAATCGTAATTACAAAAGTGATGAATAAGTTATGTGGTTTTTGGAAAGTATGGTTTTCTAGGTTTTTAAAAATAAATGAAAAGGATTGTCTTTTGACTAACAAAATTTAGATTTTTGATCGATATGCTTGTTTTTAAAAGGTTGTGTCTACTTTTTGTCCTTCAAGTAGTTATAGCTTTGCTATAATCCTACAAAAAAAGGTTAAGTCATATGTTCCTAGTCTATGGATTATTAAAATTGTATGAAATGTCACTAATGTTACAATCGTAGCCACACTTTAATCCTTTGATCTGAATCGAAATCGTTCAAAGTTGAGAGTAACCGGTGTGAAATTTACATTCAGTGTTCGCTTTATCAATGATACCAGTAGTTAATAGTCTATTGGAAAATCTTACATTTCTTTTTGTGTTGGTACTTGCTTCTTCAATAATAGTAAGTCAATTCGCTATTTTCACTAATGCTATGTAGTTTTATTCAGTGGATTTATAAAGGTTATTTCACGAGTCTTCCCACTCTTCTACACCGAAATATATTTGATGGATCTGTAATTGTTAAAACATATCAGTTTACAATGATTGAAAAGACCGTTCTTCGAAATACAGTTAGAGCAAGAACGTCAAAGATTGGTGGGAGTGAAATCGGCAATTTCTAAGACGCATAGTGGAAACACTAGCGGTAAACGAGTGTAACGTTCCCTTTTAAATAGTCTGTATTCCTAAATCTATATAAACAATAAAAAGGTTTTTACTGCTAGACAAGATTTACAACACAAAGAATGGAAATGTTTATTAACTACATTGTAGTAAACACTATTTAGGTACAACCTATTACGTTGTAAATAATGAATGTTTCTTTTGGGGGTTTGGAAGTGTATGTGAAGTATAATTCAAGCCTAACTTACATATCTCCAGGCGTTCATTGAGTACTGGTTTTGTACTCAATTTACGACACAATATAACAAACTAAACTGACCATTCTATATAACATCCTAGAAATCATATACGAGACTATGTAACAGGTTATCTTAAAAACAGACAAAATTACTTTGAAAATGTAGTTGGTTAGTATAATTTCAATCTCAACTGCTAGAGTGCTAGGTTTGTTATTTTCGCCCTTTATTTTTAGACCCTATATTCAGGATTTGTTGATAAGGCAAAAGTGAGCATGAAGCAGATTCTTTTACGAATAACATAAAGTGATTTACTCATTCGGGGACATCACCACCTACTATAATTAACAATGAATCAAATCTTTTATATATGAGAAAAAATGTTCTGTTTACATTTACTTACGATTCATGTGTGTTATAACACTGTCATATCTACACTTTCTTCAGCACGTTTTTTAAGGGAGAAATAGATATAGTTCAGAAAAATACATTAGCTAACCTATGTACCCCGTAGAAACGGACCCTCCAGACGTTGTACTGGGTTTGTCTGTGCTAGTAATTGGATTTTTAGGTGCATTCGCACTTGTGCTGTTGTTTGCATTCGTTGTATTTGGGTCAGATTTTTTAATTTCTTTTTGCATTTTCATCAGTCGGTCGATTTCACGATTTTGCACCTTTGCAAGCTCTTCATAATATGACTGCGGAGTCCAACGATAGGGATCGTATATATCCTGATCAAAGTATGAGCCATAAAGTACTCATGATATATTACGTACAATCAGTCTTCATAAAGTTTCACATAAATGTTTTTACATACAAAGAGTGAATAGTATAAAATAAGCTTGATAAACTCAGCTACATTGGTTACCAAACAAAGACTTAGCTTTATGTTTTACCCATAAAATAACATAGGAATTCACATAAGATGCTATTATAATACCACATCAAGCATTGGAAATAACACAATCTGTTTGTATATTCTATCAAAATGAATACTTGTCAGTTTGATGGTATTCCAGTGGTTAGGGCGTTCGACTTTCACCCACAGCCGAAGGCTCAAACCTCAATCTCCCTACTTGAGTTTGGGCGACCAGTTAGTATTAACAGCCCTCACACCTATGTTAATGTGGTAAGTCAGTGAATAAAGCTATGCACTATCATTGATTTTAACTGTACGTACGTAACGCGTCGTAGCCAACCCCTATACTAGTACGATATGTTGGCAAGACAATAAGTAGATTGGAATCAGGGGATTATACTAAGATACGAGACCAGTTTACCGATTCATTAGATATTGATCTGAACCGCGTAGAGGAGATACGCACTTCCTGTCTGAAATATACAAGCAAATTGTAATCTATGGCTCAAAATCAGTTGCGGTTACGCGAATGTGTGAGTGGATAATATGGAAAACATCATTATACTAATCTGTGTCTCACTAAAGCCCAGAACTACCGTACAGAGATCTTCACACCATTTTAAACATATCAATATTTTATGCCGTTATTAGGGGATTTATACTTGTTAAACACATAGTTAACACATAAATTGCCTCTTCTTTACACCTCAATATCAATATAATTTACTAAGCACACGAACACTAGATTAGTATATATGAATTACATGATATTAGGCATTTGTAACAATAGACTTACTGTAGAGAAGTTAGTTCCTTTCTCGTCAATTTTCAAAAAATCGATCAGCTTTTCATAAATACTAAAATAAAACTGAGTTTATGTTTGTCCACACGCTTACAAACCTGGGATTACGGAACGCTTTGTTATCTTGAATTGCTCTGTTAGGATCGTAGCTTATATCCAAGCGCATACGACGCACTGCTCGCTCTACTCTTTCTTGAAGCACCATTGAACAGTGACCTGTAGGTTCAGAGGGCAACTGAACCGCTTGAATAAGGCGTTCTGTAAGGGTAGGACTTTCTGCTTTCGCTTCAATAGTGATTAAGTTTGGATTTTTTACATCATTTACTGGTTCTGAAATATGAACTTGGTTTTGGGACAAGATGTTGATAGGCTGGTCAGAACTGAAAATAGTTGGGGGTCCACCCGAATTATCCAACGGGATATCCATACTACCAAGATGGAATCCATGATCACCTTTTGATTTAGGATCATTTTCACCGTCAGAATCAGTGTTCTGATCTGTATCTAACACCGTATGCTCATCATCATCTTCGTCGATGGCATAGGAAACTAAACCCGAAGGAACTATTGAGTAAAATGACAAAAAGGAAATGAACTGCGCTATACACTTACTTGCTAATCTAGCTTTCTTTGTTGGTACTGATGAGTTATTTGTATCGCTTTCCGCATGTTTATTGTCACTTCTTAACGGTTGTACTACTTGCTGACGGTTATCGGAAAAAATGGGTGAGCGCGCTATAATTTATATGAAATCAGTTCAAGAACCATGAAAAGACACTTACAGGTATCTGATAAGACAGCTGGTGTCCGAATACGCTCATCCTCCGAAGTGTATATTGCTGGGATTTGCTCATCTATGGTTTGTTCATATTCTCCTGAAATCCGACATAAAATTAGATTGAGGTAAATGCGGTAAATCTGATAATTGTTGGCAGCGGCGAGATATAATATACGACAATAACTAAGCCTAAACTAATAATATCCATTACCATTATAAGCGAAATCTATAGACAAAACAACAGGCGGACATCACAAAGCAAATAACAAACGTATGGAAGTTTTTTAATATGAAAGAAATAACTAGGTCTACATTAAAATATTCAATTTCGCTATATATTTTGGGTAAATAGTTTAATCATATAGAAGATATCAACTTTGGAAGAAAAAACAATTGGTAAGACAGACAATGAACAACAGCGCATTTAATAGTAAACTAAATGTGATGAAGTTTTTTTATGATATGAAACCCATTACCTGATTCGTTAAACAGACCTCCGTTTATATCCATATGATCTAAAATAGTAAACAATAAATCCAATGAGATTTCAAATTAGTGTAAAAGTACTGTGTTTAATCGCTTCAAAGAGTCTACCCAATTGAAAACAAATATATAGAGATTAAATAATCTACTGATAAGTTTAAAATTTTAGTAGCTTTTTTATTGAGTTACATATTTGGTGATTAAGTAGAAATCCATTATTTACGCAACAATGTGGTTATAAACAATCTTATAGATCTGTACACTCATTTAACACCGCCTGCAGTTCTTTTACAGTTACTGTCGGTCCCAAGCTCGGGTAAAGGAGGGTTGAGCATGGGTCAGCAACCCCATCCCGCAGAAAACTTTGCTGAAAAAAGTCTAAACCATTTAAACTCTGCCCTCCTAGTTGAATGATTGTCATTCAGAAGAATAATCGGGCCTCATGGTGAAGACCGAGATTCTTCAGAAGTCACGAGGCCGATGCCCCTTCTGACAACCAGAGCAACAATTAATATAGGCACATGAAATGTCCCGGCAGTGTGGGAGGATCAACCAAAAAGCTTCAGAAATGAGGGAATACAACTTAGCGGTGCTCGGAATAAGCGAAGATTGAATTCAGGAGAGATGCTGCTATACTACGGTCACAAGAAGGAAAGTGCTTTCCACACACAGGGAGTTGTCCTGATGCTCTTCAAAGAAGCACGAAATGCATTTATATGATGGGAACCTAATGGATCCAGAATCACCATAGCACCCATCAAAACGATGGAGGGAATCACAAGAAATGTTGTGCACCTACCAATGATAGCAACGACAACGATAAAGATCAGTCCTATGAGAGGCTGCGATCAATCATAGTGAAGTGCCCAAGAAAGGATCTCGCCATCCTAATGAGAGACTTAAATGCCAAAGTCGGAATGGACAACACCAGTCAGTCAGTCAGTCAGCTACAACGTAGGACCAGGCACATATATGCATCGGTCCAGGTTGCCATACCGCATTAGCACAACAAGATGAACACCGGATTCATAGGAGTGGTTAGGTCAAAGGTGGTAATATATAGGGAAAGATTGCATATAAGGATATAGTATAGGAAGAAAGAATTAGTTCGTAGAAAGAAAGATATGAAGTGATTTTAATCTCTTAGTTTAAGGGAAGACAGGGAGTGTATACACCGACGCCATTGTGATCGATTCTGAGCCATGTCACCAAGAGTCTCCAACCATTGGTTACGAAAGTCACGCGGACCCCAACCAAGTAGTCTGCATCTACCAACATGGCTCAGACTAGAAGTTAGTGACTTCAAGCACTGATGCCACGTTTTGGTTTGGCCGCCCCTAACTTTCTTCCAACCATCTCCAACACCGGTTAGCATTGCACGTCGTGGTAATCGGTGTTCAGGCATACGTAACACGTGGCCCAACCATCTCAGTCGATGAAGATTCATAACCTCATCAACTGATTTACCATCATTCCCTAATACCCTGCGTCTAACCTCACTATTACTTACCCGGTGATCCCAGCAGACGCCAGCAATATTTCTAAGGCATCTGTGGTCAAATACTAGTAGCTTACGAGTGTCTTCTACTCTTAAGGCCATGTTTCGCTGCCGTAAATTAAAACAGAACGGACTGCCGCGCAGTATACTCGTCCTTTTATTGATAGACGGATATCTCGCCTCCGCCAAAGGTGACGTAAGTTGGCAAAAGCCAAACGAGCTTTTCGAATCCGTGCTGAGATTTCGTCAGACACCAACCCATTAGGGCTGATCAGACTTCCAAGATAAGTGAAGTTGTCAACGCGTTCGACTACTTCACTCCCTATCCTTAGTTCAGGTGTTGACGCAGACCAGTCCTGAAGCAACAACTTGCATTTAGAGGGAGAGAAGCGCATTCCAAACATTCTGGCATTGTTGCTTAGTGCTACCAGAAGACTCTGCATTTTGTCAGCGTCTTCACCAAACAGGACTATGTCATCTGCGTATTCTAAGTCGATAAGTGGACCTCCTGGAAGGAGATCAATACCCGAGAATTCAGTCGACGAGAGTGTTATTTCCATCAATAGGTCTATGATGAAGTTAAACAAAAATGGAGAAAGTGGACAGCCTTGACGGACACCACTTGAGGTTGCAAAAGTAGATGACAGTTCGCCATAAGCTCTGACTCGACTAGTAGTGTTCGAGTAAAGAGCCTTCACAAGGTTTATGTACTTCTGAGGTACGCCTTTCAATGACAGACACTGCCACAGAATCTCGCGGTCTACAGAGTCAAATGCTGCTTTTAAGTCAAGAAAGACCACCATTGTCGGACGCCGATAAGTATGCCTGTGTTCTAGAACCTGACGAATGGTGAATATGTGGTCGATGCAGCCACGACCAGGTCTAAAGCCAGCTTGGTTCTCTCGTGTTTGCAGTTCACGAGTCTTAGTTAGGCGTCTGATAATTATCGAGGCTAGTATTTTAGATACTATATTAGTTAAACTAATCCCTCTGTGGTTGTCACAGGATGATTTTGACCCTTTCTTATATATTGGGACGATAAGTGATTGTGACCAGTCAGATGGGATAACGTCTAACTCCCAGATCTTAGCTAAAATATTAGTCAACCTAATCGCTAAAATTGGACCACCATCCTTAAAGACCTCTGGAGCCAATCCATCTGGACCAGCTGCCCTTCCTCGTTTCAGATTAACTATAGCCTTTTGAACTTCAGCAAGAGTTGGGGGACCTACTTCAATGTTCCATTCACACTGTCTGGGAATGGAGGGTAGTTGTAGAGTAGCTGAAGGCCAGCTGAACTGTTCTCTAAAATGTTCCGCCCATCGTTCTAAACGTCTGGACTGGGAGCAGATGAGAGTATCGTCTTTTTCCGAAATAATCTCACTTACACTTGACTTATTAATTCCAGTTTCTTTTATTAGTCTGTAAAGCTGTCTTGTGTTCCCTATAGTCGCCGCCTTTTCCATCTCTTTTGCTTTCGTTGCCCACCACTGCTCACGGTCGTTTCTTAGACTTTTTCTTAACCTAGATCTGATTTGTTGTCGCTCTTCATCATGTTCGGAACCTGATGGGACGAGTTTGCGAGAATCCATCAGTGTGATAGACCTTGAAGAAATCCACTGGTTTTTTGTAACTCTGTGGTTTAAGTCACTAATAGATGTCACTGCTGTTTGTATGTCTTTCCAAGCAACATCTGGGTCAGCCTCGTCTTCACAACTACCTAAGTGTGACCTCAGTTGTTCCTGGAACCTACTTTTGGTTTTCTCGTTACTCAACTCAGTTCTAATGGGTCTTTTTAATGTGGCTTTTTTGCGTCCAGTGAGGCGCAAGCAGATGCGTGCCCGTATTAGGGCATGGTCGGAGTCCAAGCAGGTACTCCAGAATGAGCGACAATCTTCTACCGACCCTCTCCAACGATGACTGATGGCAATATGGTCTATTTGAGTCCATCGTTGGTTTGGTGTAGGGGGTCGCCATGTTAGACGATGTCTCTCCTTATGCTTAAAATTTGTGTTTGCTAAAAATAAACGATTGTCTGAGCACAGTTGCAGCAGACGATCACCATTATCTGTTCGCTGTGCCGGAATACTAAAATATCCACCTAAATGCCTTTCTGTTTGGTTTAAACTACCTATCTGAGCATTAAAGTCACCTGCTACGAGTACTATGTCTGAGCGTTTAGCTTTCTGAAGAAGTTCAGAAGCTTTCTGTAAAATTCATCTTTCACTTCATCTGAGCTGCAGTCAGTGGGAGCGTAGGCAGAAACGACGTGTGTCCCTATCCTTCCGAGTTCTTACGGGGCCGTTTAGCCGAACAGCACATAGACGACTGTTGACGGGGATCCACTCTAGCAGTGCTTGTTCCGCCCTCATGCTTAGTGCTATGCCTACACCTGCCAGTCCACGAGAACTGGCCATCGGGTCACCAGATACACGGAGGGTGTATCTCGTTGGCTCTCCGTTTTGCCAAGGTCTTGTATGCGTGTTTCGGAGACACAGCATACATCAATGGAAAGAGACTCTAGGGTTTTAGCCAAGGAAGCCTGCTGACCGATTTGACATAGGGTGCGTACGTTGAAGGCTCCAATGTGTAGTTTGGAGCGAGGTTTCAGTAGACCTGGTGACACTTGAGGAGGAAGCCGAAAGAGGAAGTTTAGAGTTGGAAGTTCATGTAGGAGGAATAATAAGAATTTAAGAGGGAGGTTGATTATGAATACAGTGGTCTTGAGTGCTGTTAGAGGTATGAGGGCGGCTATCACTTCCCGGTTGCCCATACTGTGGGAGGGTTCTTCTGGAGGTACCTGAAAAAGAAATGGGATTAGAGGTGGTCTTAGTGACTGGAGAGCGTGACCGCAGTGCCAAAGGAACAACTGCAGACAACACCGGATATGAAGATATCATGGGACGACATGGACTGACTGGGAGAAACGAAAATGGGGAGAGATTTTCAAATCCATGCACATTTAAAAACTTGGTCATAGGTGGCACAATATTCCCACACAAACACACAAAGCTACATGGGTCTCACCGGATCACACCACGAAGAACCAGATAGATCATATTTGCCTCAATAAAAAGTTCACAAGGACAATGAAAGACGTAAGAACAAGGAGATCACCACTTGGCTGTAGCCAACATGAAACTGAAGCTAAAAAAAAATAATGGACAGCCGGACAAACATCATTACGAAGGTTCAATGCAGTGTTCCTTTGAAATACTGACAAACTTAACGAATTCAAGATAACTCTGACGAGTGGAACTCATCATTATACATCAACTTCATTGACTATGAGAAGGCATTTGACAGTGTGGATAGGAGGATTTTATGGAAACTTCTTCGACACTTTGGTGTGAGTATCTGAAAAGATCGTCAACATCATACGGAACTCATACGAAGGACTACAGCGCAAAGTCGTGCATGGAGGACAGCTGACAGATGCATTCCAATTAAGGGCCCGAATCAGACAAGGCTGTTTGTTCTCTTCCTTCCCCTTCCTTCTGGTGTTTGACTAGATTATGAAGACCTCGACATCTGAGGGAAAACACGGAATACAATGGACAGCTCAGAAACAATTAGACGATTTGGACTTCGCAGATGACCTAGCCCTCCTATCACATTTATTTTTTATTTATTTCAACACATAAATATTGGTACAAGAGGGCAACAAATATATATGCGCCACACCATACCTGTGTGTGTGTGGGCTGTGATACTGCCCGGGTGCCCAGACCGAAGCAGGCCTCCTATCACATACACACGAACAAATGCAGATGAACACAACTAGTGTAGCAGCAGCCTCTGCATCAGTAGGCATCGACATACACAAAGGAAAAAGCAAGATCCTCAAATACAACACGGAGAACATCAACCCAATCACACTTGATGGAGAAGCTCCGGAAGATGTGGAATCCTCCACGTACCTGGGCAGCATCATCGATGAACAAGGAGGACCAGATGTTGGTGTAAATGTAAGGATCGGCAAAGCAAGGGCAGCATCCATACAGTTAAAGAACATATGGAACTCAAAACAACTGTCAGTAAACATCAAAGTCAGAATCTTCAATACGAAAGTCAACACAATTCTATTGTACGGAACTGAAATGTGGAGAACCACTAAAACTATCATAAAAAAGTACAAGCATTTATAAACAATTGTCTACGTAAGGTACTCCAAATTTATTGGCCGGCCACTACCAGCAACAACCTACTGCGAGAGAGAACAAACCGAATTCCAGGTGAAGAGGAAATTAGGAAAAGACGCTGGAGTTGGATAGGATATACATTGCGGAAATCAACAAACTGCATCACGAGGTAAGCTGAAACTTGGAATCCTGGGATGAGACGGAAAAGAGGAAGGCCAAAGATTATACTATGTTGAGAAGTGAAAGCAGATATGAAAAGGATGAATAGCAACTGGTAAGTCACTCATCATCAACGTAGAACTTCGCACGTACGTACATCAGTTCGAGTTGCCATACCACATTAGCACAGAGATACAATTGTCGATTTAAATTCCATAGTGGTAGAAGTAGTAAATATATAGGCAGTAATCGGAAAGGTTAGTGCTTGAAGATATTATTCAAGGGGTATAATCAAGTGAAATGAATTTAGAAAGAAAAAAACGGACATGTATAGTTCAGAAGATTAGAATTTGGGAGAACACAAAGAGTGGATGCACCTGCGCCATTGCAAACGATTTTGAGCCATGTCATTCAAGTTCTCTAACCATCGGTTGCTATCATCTCGCAGTCCCCAACCAGGTAGTCTACACTTACCAACATGACTCAGTCCACTTGTCAGTGACTTCATGGACTTGTGCCGTGTTTTGGTCTGGCCGCCTCTAGCTTTCTTCCAACCTACTCCTATACCACCGAACATCGCACGTCGATGCAGTCGGTAGTTGGGCATACGTAACATGTCCCAGCCAACTCAGCTGATGAAGTCTCACTAATTCATCAATTGATTTGCCATCCTTACCTAATATTCGTTTCATAACAACTGCATTACTTACTCTGTGGTCCCAGGATATACGAGCAATGTTTTGGAGACAGTATAGCTCCGCTACTTCATCAAGATAGACAAGCCCGACCACTACGTCAAGGTAGAAACGACGATTGATTACATTGATATTTAACTTTCTTCATTGCAGTAAGCAATGACTGAAAATACGCAACAACTACAGCGAAAACCACGTCCAAGTCATTGCTATTTACTTGGTGAATGAATACGTACTGGCCCAAGAGAACATGAAACATTATTTTACACTCAAAATCAAGCACGGGTTTGGGTGCTCACTTTCCAACAATGACAATTTGTACAACACTATCGAACGTTAAGTTTGAAAAATTGTGTTTGAATGTAGTGAGTTATGTAAAGGTATTTTCCCTGACTTGTGTATCGCAAATAACAGATTAATTTAACTAGTCAATTATAACCACCACTAAAAAAGGCTGTCAATAATACTCAGCTGAACATTGCCATGTGCACAATTACAGGACAAGAAATGTAACCACGACAACCCTGTTTGTTAGTGGTGAAGGCCCGTAAAATTTTGAATGAAACTGACGAACCCCTGTTAGTGTATATACCCGTCTCTATCTCTCTATTTCGGGGTTTTCCTCAGAACTTGGGAAATTTCAGGGTTTCTGTGCCATTTCCCTGGAACAGACAAATCTTACCCCAAAATAGTGAGATTGGGTTCAGGCACTATTGTATTTTTATAAACTTATTCAGTTGGAGAGACAACTATGGTCTTTGGATCTCTTAACCTCTTTACGGTATATGATATGCCGGATTTTAAGAAACCACAGCTATGAAAATTACAGAAACCAATATTAGTTCCTCAGATGCACGTATATGTTTATACGTGCATATGCATGCATGCATACATATACATGTATTCCAAATGCATTTGGGATATGGTGTTGTGTTGGATAATCAAGCAGCCATCAAACGACTAGGCAGAGTAAAGACCCTCCACACATGATATGCAGTTACATTGCTTTGTCTACGACACAAGATGAAATAAGAGAACAGGTACTGAAGTGAGCACTTACCGTAACCTTGAACAGACCAACGCGCGTTAGCTAAATGGTTCAGTCATCAGTAATAAGAATAGTAGGTTGGTGAACTTGTGGTAATCCTGACAGTTTGCGTTCCAGTGAAGTTCCGGCTTCTCCTTGAAAATATTCACTGATGGGTCTGATACTATTTGTCCGGGTAAGGCGTTTCAGTCATTGACCACTCGATGAGAAAAACGGAACCTAACATTAAGTTTATTAGATCGCGGTTTATGAACCTTCTAGCTATGACCTCGAAGATTAAAAATACTGGAGGAAGCAAAAAGATAATACATATTAACACCCAAATCGTAATTAAAGATGCGAAATTCCAGTATAAGGTCACCTCGCGTCCTACGATACGACAAGAGGAAAGGTTTAGGCGTTTTAAACACTCATCATAAGGGAGTTTAGAAATGCCCTTACTAACTTGATTCCCACACGCTAGACACGCTACTTGGATACAGTACTCCAAATGTGGTCTTACATAGGTGGGATATAAAATTCGAAACATTTCCTCGTCAAAGCATTTGAATGCTCGGTGAAGTGACCACAACACACGAAAACCTATGACAGCAGCTGCGTTGCAATGCGTAGTTGTTTTCAAGTCGTAACTTATTATTACTCCTAAGTCTTTATGTTCTTGAACGCATGGAGGAGGTTTGCCATCAATAGTATAATGGTAACCACTACTGCAACCGATGTGCATTAGCACACTCTTCTTAGAGTTGATTTCTAAGTCCCAACCTCGAGCCCATCTAACTAATTCGTCTAAGTCAGCTTGGAGATCCAAATGATCAGCCTCACTTTTTACTGCTCCTCGAATTTTGACACCATCCAAAAACAGTGATGTTGATGACTTAATCAATGGCGGTAACTAATTAACGTAGAGAAGGGAAGATAGACTTAATATGTTGCCTTTGGGTACACCACTTTTGACCGGCTTCCATTCGGATAGCGTTCCATTAACCCTCACTCTCCGTATGCAGTCACATGAGAAGTTTCCTGTCCATTCCTGTACAGCGTCTATTATCGCAAAGCTCGAGAGCTTCTGCATAAGACCCAAGTGTGAAACCATGTTAAATGCTTTGCTAAAATCTATGAATATCACGTCGACAGACAGACCTTTGTCTAAGGCTGCTGTTCAATCCTATATTACAATAAGTTAGTCAAGCGTGAACGCTTGTTACAGAATCCATGTTGCTGATGAGCTAACAGATTGAGTGAATCTATGCGACTTAGCAACTTAGCCCGAGTTATCTTTTCAAGTAACTTAACGACTATACTGGTTAGATTGACAAGGCGGTAGTTAGATACGATCTGTGTCTGACTATCCTTAAATTCAGGACTGACTATAGCGTCTTTCTAATCTCTAGGTAATTGGGCAAACGAGAGCGACATTTTGAAGAGTGTCGCGAGCGGTTTTGAAATAATGTCCGCAAGCCGTGGATGTAACCCGTCGAGGCCCGGTATCTTACAATGTTTGAGATTAGTTATCAATGAAAGGACAGTTTCCTCAGTCACCTGTACAGATTCAATGGCAATGTGGTAGCTTACGTGCTAACCGTTAGATAAACGGTGGCGTTACGGACTCGAATGCAGCCTTAAACTTATTCGATTCGTCTTCGATCGATCCATCCGCATCGACCGACCAATCTGTCGAGATAACACAGTTTCTGATTGCCGGAATATTAGCTCGCCAGATATTGGGAGTGGGTGGGGCAGATGCAAATTGTATAACATGTGTCCTAAACTTAAAGTAAAGTACAACGTGATCACTGTTCACTAGTGGGGGAAGGTGCTGAATATCAAAGACATCCTCATAGTGGTGGGTGAGGGCAAGGTCCTGCAGTGACGGATCATGTTGCAAACCATAATATGTCGGCTTTGTGATACATTGTACAAGTGCACACTGAATAGCGGTTGATAAAAGTTCGCTATCGAAACCAACACCTGTAGCTGTAGGCTCTATCCAGTTGAAGTGCGGTGCGCTGAAGTCCCCAATAATGAGACATTCTGCCATACTCCAAGAACAGGTGTGTCTTAAAATAAAGTCGTCAGCAAGACAACGCGGACTACGGTGTATTCTCCCCATAGTAACTAATCCATTTCTCAATTTAATTTTACAACATGCTACCTCACATGTACCACCAACATGCGCCTCCGATATGACTGATTGTATACGAACGTGATCCCTAATATATGACATTATGCCTCCCCCCTTGCGACTTAAAACTCTATCACTTCCAATACAGATATAGTCTGCAATGATGGGAGAACATTTTATATTTACGGAGAACCAAGTTTCTGTAGCAACAATTATATCGAGACTTAATTCATCTACCATCAGACTTAGCTTGGGCGTTTTATTTCTAAGACTACGGGCGTCCGTGTAGCACACACTTAAGGTGTTTTGGTAACCATTCGTTCTACCCATACAGGCCTCGGAAGCACTGGCTTCCAAGACATGACTACCTGAAAACCCTTAATGGTAAGGTTAGTTTCGCCATTTAACTTGCGAGTTCTCAACTCCGTAAGAGCATTCTTCCACTTGATTCGATCCTCAAGCAGCCAATCTGGTCGGATACGAATATTTGAATCACGAGTTCGATTCTGCATATTAACCACTGGGATCTTACAATTAATTTTCACTGTAACAGAGTCATGGGAGTCGAGCGAGTGACTCATAACAATGTTTGACGGGGCGTTACTTCGGAACTTAGGTGGAGTAGCCTGTGATTCCAACAAGGACTTATCAAGAAAACTGACATTAGTTTTAGCAATCTTTCCTACTCTTCTGAGTCATCCATTTTCCATCAGTCGTAGGATCTACATTAGAGCTACTCGAGACAGTGATAGTTTTGTCTGGATCACCGGTCGCTGCCGTAGCAACTTGATCACCAATATCTAATGACGCGTCACTCAAATGGTTAGGATGGTCGTGGGCGACATAGATGAAAATTTAGCCTTACAACCTTCTGCGTCGAGAATTTATAATTCACTTCTTCCTTTAAGTATGGATCTAAGAGAATGAAACAAACCTTGCTGTTAGGATGAAAAGAGGTTTATGGATAACAAACGGTCGCTTAGGCCTGTGGTGTTACTGGTTCGTCATCTCACTATCTTTGAGGATGAGTATGTGATTTCTGATAAGATTTGCATTAAACATTTTGCACTCACAGAAGACAAAAGATTGCGAGGGCGCAAACAGTTGATCGGTATGACATGGCTTGGCCTTACGGAAGTGGTTATCCTGCTTTGTAGCACAAAAGAGTGTGTGCAGTAAGAAATGCCAATGAGCACCGACATCAAGTGAGGGTGACCATCTCAATCCATCTATTGTGGATAGTCCTGTAAAAACACATTCAACAGTTTGAAATTTCCGCGCCTATTGTTGGTGGGATATCTTAGCTCAGTTTTGCTGACATAACAGAAGACCATGACAGCGTGATCGCCTTTCTCTAGAGGAGCTAGGAGCAAGAGGTTGTCAACTAGGAATTTATAAATACTCAGACTGAGCGCGACGGCGTCTGATTGTTTCGCCAACGAGTTGCCGACTTCACATTTTCGAACAATCTCAGATCCTCAATGAGGTTGAAGAACTGATATTCAGTTGAGTTTTCAACTCTACTATACATATGTCTCACGAAATTGACTTTAGGAAGATTGAAGTCCCTTAGAAGCAGGATATGAGTAGATCCGGGACACATGGAGCGGGATAATTCTTCCGGTATACGATTGTCGTACTCTATGTCAGCAGCGGGCTTCCTGTAGATGACCCCAACTAGACACCTTGAGGTGGTAGACAATCTTACTGTGCACCATACGGATTCATCAGGGTCGCTAAACACATGATTGTAAACTCAGTGTACCTGCAGGCATGATCGTATGTATAAGGCTACCCCACTTTCAATTCCTGTTTTTCTGTCGTTGTAAGACTAAGAAATCCCAAGTTTTGATGGCTCCAGGTCCATAAACCGAGATATCCAAGTTTCAGATATTCCTATTAGATGAGCATCATTAGCATTACTAAGTTCACGTAGCTCATACATTTTATTCGGTCAACTCGCGGCGTTCACGTAGAGGCAGTTTAAGCTTGCAACTGGAAACGCGTGAGCTTCTTCCTGTTTGTCTGTGAATGGACAGGTAGCCTACCAACACAAGGTTTTCCGAGTTGATAACCCCTGTCATTTACACGTTTTTTCATGATCACAAGTGGAATGATCAGCTGCAACTCTCACTTGTGCTTGATCCTTGCGTCACGTGGCCTATCAGGATGCATGTATATTCCAGTTGGCAACCGATGTCTGTTGGTACGAAACGCTTCCAGAGTTGTAGCCGCTATACGGGAGGATGGGAAAGTTATCTTCGTTAGCCAAGGAATCAGAATATCTTGTTGAAAGTCTTATGTTTCCAGACCATTGTTTAAGCGCGTAGTTTGCTCATTCGTCCTAAAAAAGACTTTATGCATGTGATACGTCCCTGTCCGAAATTTCCGTAGGTTTTTTAGAAGTATTTAAATAACCATGGCAAAAATTATTGAGTTCATTTGCTGTTCTCCCTAAATTGTGGATTTTTGCGCCGGTAGATATCTCCCTTAGTTTACAGAAGAAGCCTAGATAGTGGTTACTGTATGTCTTTATTCAGATACTGGAACGGAACAGGTGAAACGCGAGGCTCTCTTTTCAAACACAAAATTTTCGACTTCCAAGACAAAATTATGGGAAAAATAGGACTTATAAAAAATAAAGAATAAATAATTGAACTAAAAAGTTTTGACATTACCAGGGAGTTATGGACCAACTCTTGACCAACTGAATAATTATGTTACAGGATGACTTGTAGGCGGTTTTGTTACAGTCCAATTACCACAATAATAATGTCTATTTATATACTGACATTTGTTTTATTTCAAAGCAGAAAACAAGTGTATATTTAACGTCCTCATAAACCTTGAACAAGTAGTATAACTGACAACTATACTAGGCTGATGTGATAGCTTACAATGAGCACACAATATTAGCTACAAACCGTTGACTTATTTAGGAAGGATTTAGCTGAACATGCGATGTAAATCAATAAAAGCGAATCATTTTTGGTCTTTTATACACACTATAATAAAACAAAAAACAAAAGCGTTTCGTAATACTGATGGTATACGACGCAGTATACGAACCGTTATTTAACAAACCTAACTAAACCGTTTTATAATTGTCATGAATGGATTATGAGTGAGACATAGAACACACTGAAATAATCCAGCGATGTAAGCTGGGATCCCAGTGCTAAAAATTTACAAAACAATAATTATTTTGCGCAAAAACCACAGAAAACCAATTCTATGATAACCAAATATAGTTGGACATATATCCTAAGTATGGATCCTTTGGTTTAATAATTGAACTAGGTATTTTGATCAAACCTTTCAGCTGATGTTTCATTTCATGTCTCAAAATAGATGACATTTCTATTTTTAGCCGTGATACATGACGTGTCCTTAATCGGTCTGCGCTGTGTTGCATTGGTCTTTTTCTACATGTGCACGAGTCCAATTAATTGATCCATCGATGGATTCAAAGTTCAAATTTACTTTGCCCAAACAAGGTCTTTATTAGAGGATAAAATAACCAAGAACTTTAGGACTGATTAAGAATAAAATGACACTAGAAGGGTTACTGTTTCCACTTTGTTTATTTAATAAAAATATTCGCAGCATGAATAGAGAGAGCTGCGTCATTAGTAACTTATTTGATTGTGATTGGAATGAAATGCATGATCCACACAAACACGAGTTTATCTCAGGTCTAACAGCAAGACAGAACACACAATGAAATTCGCAGTTACAAAAGATAAGACATGTGGAATGGTTGAGAAATGTTGTGACAATCAAAATACTAGTATATGTCTGAACACAGAACTAAGGAACTAAAGTTCTTCCCATTATGACAAACTACGTTCTTCTGCACAGCATACAAAGCGTCTTTGAGTGAATCGCATCAAGTTATATTTAAACACAAACTCTGCGCTCAGATTAAAAACTGTTTTAACTTACGAAATGAAACACGTTATATCAAAAGCACAAAACTCATACAATGCAGCTTGTGTTTTACAAGCCAAGGTTTCTCCAACACAAACTACCGTTCCAAACAATGAAGGAAATATTTTCTACATAAGGGTTTAACACCTGGAAATTAGCAAAAATATTCCCAACAACGTGGGACCAAACATCAATCTGCAACGTTTCCATTCAACAGACAGTCGAGAGTCAACAAGCTTCAACTGAACCAGGCCACGACCTTTGCTTAGTCAAACATGACTTTACTACCAATAGCCTGGCAACGTGCAGTAACAAAACCAACCAATAAATTTGAAACTTTAATCAAAGTTTAATGATAAATGTTCAGAAAAAGACCTAAGAACATGAAGCGTTGTTACGAGAGACCTGGGTAAAAGTTAATATACAAAGTAGGGAAAAAGAATAAAGAAATAGCCAAACTCAAGTTTACGGGGTGGTTCAGTGTATTTAAATACAATTTAATACGAGTCATTCAAAGACGCTTTGTACGCTGTACAATCGGAAGAACTTTGGTTCCTTAGTTCTGTGTTCAGACCAAATACAGGAATTTGGATCATTACATTTTGGCTCATATTTTGCGATGAATGATGAAATCTGGTAAGCCAAATGCACTGCACAGTGCGTTAACGTCATATTTTATAGACGTACTGACCATATATAACTGCAGATAAATTTGCTTGCTATTTTATGATATACTGCCGCTGGTATATGTCGAATCAAAAGAAAGCAATTCTTTTAACCTTCTGCCAGGTGTCAAAACTAGTCACACTGCGTACGAATTTGCCAATAACAGTTGCAAGTTTTGATAGTTCGCACATGGAAATAATCAATAAGCATTTAAGGTCAAATTATATTTGTTCAAAACTAGTAATGATTATGGATGATATTAGTACTGACGCTTGATACTTTCTTCAGCAACCGACACCAACCACGAAAAAGGCAAACATAGGAGTGTTAAAACAGCCTTTGGATGAACACAAGGAAGCTCTTGGAAGCTCAAAAAGAGCCAAAGACATTCCATCCAATAATCTGTTAAAAGACAATTCTAGGATCCCGACGTTCATCTTCCCCCTTGAACAAATGCTAAACGCCACTATTTGAGGGTTGGATGACTATAATGATGATTCGGTCTGTACTAAACTATGAATACCTGACAGCGTTGCACCATAATTGACACTATTTAGAATAGCGCTGCTTCTCACTCGTCTTTTGTCTTCCACCTTGCGATTTGGATGGTTCTAGCGTTCGAGTGCATCCGTAGAATGCTTTATGTTAAGGATTTAAGCACTAGATGTGTAACGGAAAGACAACGTTGAAATACATAATAAAAGCTCAGACGAGGAGGACTGAAGAACAAAAGATGTGGTTAAACGAGATGTGAACGAAGGTTAAAATACACGATAGGTAGAAGAAACAAATAAGTGACAGTACTGTCCAGCCCAATATCTACCACCCGGGTTACCGTTCACGTTAGTCCATGGGACTGAGTCCCACTAGCCAGGTGGCAATCATAGAGATGTTTAAACAATGAAGAGAGGAGGCTTAGAAGAAGCAAAGAAAAACAATTTTCTGAGTGCTTCAAATCGCAGAAAATTTTAGCATGAATATATTTCGCCTTATACTCATTCGTGTCGCACAAAGTATATGATAATCGATGCAAGACTTTAGTGTCTTAACGAAAATGAATCGTAGGTTGCTGTTGTTGTTATTTTTACGTCCAAGGTTTCACTCTCTTCCGTTATTGAAGCACAGTAGATCAACATGCTTGTAACCTACGGTACTAAATAATAATAGAACCAAACATTAATTTAGTAAACGAAGTTTGTTTGTAAATTACAAGCAGTCGGCCCAAATACCGTTATATTATTGTTCATAACAATTAAAAGCCGAACCTTCGATTTTTTAGGTTCCCGGAGCAAGAATTTCAAAATGCCATACCATAGATGAATTGAAACCAAAATTTCCGGAGTCGGAGATATGATCAAACGGGTTCAAAAGTTCAGTAAAACAAATACATCCAAAACATGGTGAAATCAATACAACAGTCTTTAGTCAGTCAAACGTTTTCAGTTGTGGCTGGTATCGGATAAACAAAAAAGGAAAAAAAAGTTAGACAACAAAAGATATAGTCATTAGTATTTTTAACACTTCACCGTCTATATACACACCTTTCTAATAAACCGCTTTCCTTGTACCAGCCTTGACTCCCTTTCATTCATGTGAGCTTACTACAACTCGTTAAACGACACAACTCATTGTTCTTTAATACTACATTCTTTAATATGGAGCCTCTGACTTCATTTCACTCTAACAAGATATAATATGAATTCATTCTAGTTTATTATACCTCTGTCCTTTCTACTACACAATGTTAAGCAACGTTTGGCGTTCATATCCAAGTGCCTTTCTGCTCTTCTGTTTCTCTTTTTTTTTCTCCTTCAGAAATTTGCTCTGAGGGCACAGCTATGAAACTTCTGATGTCTGGAACAAACTTGACGTACGTGTCTCCTCAAGGTCACGGCTTACAGCAAGAGTACTGCGAGCATACTTTATAACAACTATAAGTTGCGAAGCATTTTGTAAACCAACAAGTGTTGTTATTTATAGATCATGCCTGTAAAAATGGCGTGTACCTGTGCATGCGGAAAAAATATATATATTATTAATAGTAATAGTTGAATCCCTAGCGAACAAGAGAGTTGAATACTGTACACATAGTCCTCTTTGTCGCTTTGGAAAAACAACAATTTATTTTTAAACCCCTTCTTTTCCTCATTCATTGGATGCTAATATCTTGACTGGTTAGTTTGATTTTCAAATTGGGCGTCTGTATCAGTCCTCTTAGCGATAAGACTTCTGTTTCATTATTATTAAGCTTCGTATCTGACAAGTTATAGATGAACTTCGAAGGATCTCACGAAAACCCCGAGTCTAGTTGTTCTCTCATCAGACTTCTTGATAGGGATTTGTGGAAATCCTTGTAAACCATTATTTGAAAATCGTGAATAAAGTTTTTGAATTTTATCCGACAATGGCATCAAACATCAATCGTGTTATTTTGAGTTATTTCGTTGATCCAGTGTGAGATTTGGTGATATGTCAGAGGTTTTCAAGAGATGGCATAAGTTTACATTAACTCAAAGTTATAACGAATTGACTTAGAAATCAGCCTGACGTAAGACATTCTCCATAAAACTTAACTCTTATCAGTTCCCTTGATATTCTGCAGCGTACTGTCACGAAGTGATTCAGTGATTTGAACAATCGTGCAGGAAGGCATTTTTTGAGGATACACTGAAAAAATTGCGGTAAAGCTACTATCAAAACCTGGGTAGAAATTATCCAAGTTTATTTAACGCCGGTTGTGCCAGACTTGTACGACATAAAGTTAGAAAGCACTCCAAAAGGACAATGCACTCTGAAATTTTTTTGTCGGACAACATTCTTTGTGTCACAGTGCAAATGTTTACAATTTGTCGAGTTTCATGTTCAAAAACAGCATCTTTCCAGATCAAAATGTTCTGAATACTGTAAAGGTGGCAGCAACCTCGTGCATATAAACTGCTGGTCGTTCATACCTGTTCTTTGATTTTCATAGCAAAATACTAAACGGAAATCATAACGGTGACAAATGCTAAGCATAGCATCTCTCTAAGTAATGCCACGGGACTCAGTTCCGTGTGTACATATAAACAAAGGTGAGTAGTGGAATGGTTTGCAGACCGCATTTAAATTCATATGGTGCAATAAGAAGACGGAGATTACCAGAACTATGTTATAGATTGCCTCAATACACTTGTTAAAAACATTTATACGTAGGAAGAAGCCAGATAGACATGGAAAGTAAGAGGAAACAAAGATAACACGGAAAATAATGTGGAAATCAATGCCAAAATCACCACGCTGGATAATAAACTATTATTATCATTGGAGGTTTGAGGCGAGAACAAATCGGTTTCGGATACACAAAAGGAGTTCGAATCGTCGTATGGCTAAGGCCTCAATAAACCTCAGTATACCCCATTGAAGTGTTTACACAACACCACAAAAGCCATGTTAATTTCAACTTTATGACCTGTTTTCATTTGTACTTTTAGCAATATCAGGCGATGGGAGCTTATAATTTACTCTTATCAGATCGTTTGGCTATATTTGTTTTATCAACCACTGATGTATATGTTCGTGGACCATAATTTGGAGAAAATGGCTACGCCTTCCCATATATATGTGGCTAAATGTGTCACTGACCTATAAATATGATAGTGGGGAAATAACATCAGTCCATCCATGTATGTAGGGCAGGATATTCTGTTAAATTATGGCTCCTTTTGGTCTTGTGAGATGTCGTGAACCAATGGTATTGATGTTGACTTCTTATACCCAATACCTCGTCGACTCGTTTGTGACCCTGAATCGGTTCCACTTCCTACCGAGAAACCCTATTTCAAGCAAAACTGGACAACTAAGCAAAATAAGAGACCATGAATCACTCTACAAAAGTTACGACAATAAAAGTGAGTTATGATAATTTTGGAAAAAAGCTGGTTCGTATTCGAACACTGTTTTCTTGCTAAATATTGAAAGTACACAATCATAGACTTTCAGCTTTTTTAAATCACTTCCGTTTGTACTACTCTTTATTTATTCAACGCCATACTTTGGCCTGTTTTCTTTAACCTGATGAAATATACTTGTTTAGAAATCGGCCTAATAAAATGGGATGAATCTAAGAAGTCCTGCCTCAACTATGCGATCACAATTCACTGGTAGTGAACATTATCTGTTCTGCTGCTCCCCCTTCCCTTATCCCTCATTTTTCAGCGCCCTTGTGGTATAGCACGGAAGACATATATGGAATATGGCTTCATCCTGCACCATCACTAATACCTCCAGAATTTATTTGTGGTCTTTATCAAAAAGCACTTGGACGTCTCTCCGAGTTATTCATTTGGCTTACTTGGCCGTGAAATTTGTAAGAATAGAGACTTCTCCTTAGTCTGACGCAAGCGTCGCTCCCCGAAAGTTGGCTTATAACTGCATCTGAATTAGTTAAAGTACACGCTTTAAAGGAATCAAAAAGGTTAAAATTTTTTGAAGTTTTTGTCCACATCTCTGATCACGCTAAAGAACTGAGGCTATCCAAAGTGAAGGTAAGGAAGGACAACTTCCCAATCTATAGGTAGCAAGGTCTGGTGTCGGGACTAAGATTAATCATAGTAATAACACCAGACTCAATTATGGGTACTCAAAAAAACTTTGAAATTAATGAATGAAGTACTTATGATGATCACACTTTAGACTTACAGCAAAGTCAATTCACTGTATTTACACCACTATGGAAAGCTAAGAATGAATGAATCTGTAGAGGAAAATGGATTTTTAAACCTATCATAAGTAGACGTATTATAGCTAGCTGAAATATCAGTAATTACAAAAAAAGCATAGACGAGATATTGCAGAACAAGCAAGTACCAGTCATGGCTCACAGAAATGACAGTGATGGCGTACACTTCGCTATTCACCCATATATACAAATGAACATAGATACAAGAAATTCAGAAAAACTTGAAACATATTTGTTGAGAGTGGGCATATGCCTGTGCATTTGTGATGGGTCTGTTTTCAGTGTCAATATATGCGCATTACCAACATTTTTCCGTTTGTATGGCGGATGAGCCCTGGATTTTAGGACATAGTTTTCACTAAAGATTCCATTTTAAGCTCCAACTTTCGTCGTGATTGCTCTCTTATTATGGAAGTTCGAATACGCTTTAGCGTCACTTTCAGGGAAATCATGTAGATTTGGGTAATTGAAATGAAATCCCCAGTGATCATCATGCTCACAAGCAGCACCCACCAATTAAACGAAGTGGAAACTACTCGAAAACGCTAGATGTTGCACTTCTATTGTTGGCTGAAAAACGGTTGATTAACCTTAAACGTATACATGGACAATGGATATTTTGATTGGACACTTATGGGAGAACTAAGGAGGTGTGTGTTTATATAGCCGAAAAAACTAAGTCCTTCTGAGCCTAAATACAGTACACTATCATGGAATCATTCACTCTTTAAACTTTAGTATGAAATTTTAAGTTGGTTATTTTACGATATAAAATAGACATTTTTGTGTCGGGTGACTTTTCAAAATTGGAATTTCGAGGTTATGGGTTTGTGTGAGTCTGGTGAAATTTAAGATAGACCAATCCTTTTATGAGTTTCAGAACTGTTTGTTCTCTTTTAAATATTTAGTGCTGTTCAGAGAAACGTCTCCTATTTTTAGTCATTATTATTAGATGGAGTTAAAAAGAATATAAATATATATTTTGTTATAGCTATGTTACGTCGGTCAGTAATCTTAAAAAACATAGACCTAGATAATTCTCCTTTTTAGTCGTCTATTTGTAGCTCCTGAACATTCAGCTGGTGATAGCTTGCATCTTTACATATGTCTTTATTTCCTCTTTACACTTTTATGCTGATGATGTCACAGGTATTCAGTGTTTCACAACGCTTCTACCAGTAACACCTTCTAATATGTTTCGTTCCCACCAAGAGAAATCAAAAGACAGAGTCGAGGAGATCGGAAGAGTATATTTGGCGATGACCAATATACCGGGATTCTCTGATCTAATCTGGCTAGCGATTGTGGTTGATGTTGAGCACGGCGTTACTACACGTGATCTGGTGCGGATGCCTGACCGAGCGCCTTCAGCTAGATGAGTCCACTAAAACATATGGTCAGCATCCAATGTCGAAAACTTACAGAGCTATTTATTTTAGGGATTTATTTACCGCTACAGATCACTCCCCCCCTAGTGGGGCAGTGACGACCCTAAGACGTGGCCAGCCAGAAGTTTAAACCCAACGAGTTTGTCGTTGGTAAACACTCTTCTGATAGCTTACTAAATTTAGCAGCGTCTGGTCGTCTTTCCTTACTATATGGGACGGAGGTACAACATAGTAAAAAAAAGAAAATGTACAATGAAAATTTCGGATCCTCATAAACGTCATCGTTCTTTTCCAGCCGTCCTGGAAAAGAAAAAAGAAAATGTAAGTGCATGTCGAAATACACTCGTATATGCGTAAAAAAACAAGGTCGGCGGAAAAAAAATGGAAAATAAACTCATGAGCACGTAATAGCGTTAAAAAATTGTTTTTTTTGTTTTGTTTTTTTTAATAGAAATAAAAATATATAAGCATATTAAAATTGTTTTTTTTTCAAAAAAAAAATAATATAAAATGTCGAGAAGTGCCTTACGTGCAATAGTCGTTTAAATGTTCTGGAAATCTCACCCTTCTTCCAGAACGCGTCGTTTTAAGTTTATTTTCGGATACTGTCGAAGTATCTTCGTGTGCGTTGGTTGTCGGATGAGGTATTATTAGTGTCTGAGTCGTGTCGTTCGATTGTACCGAAGGAAAATCGACGTGGATAGGATTTCCTTCTAAATACGCTGCTTTTAAGCGATCGATGCTGATGCTATCGTTGGTTCCGTTCTTATCGACTATATAGTACTTAGATTCACGTTGAAGAACTTTGAAGGGTCCTTCGTATGCTGATTCGAATGGTCGTCGATGCGAGTCTCGACGAATGAAAACGTGTGTACTATATGGTAAGTCAGGTTGAACGAAAACATCAGTTGATTGAGGTCGAGTGGAAGCAGGTTTAACTGAACGCATTGCGTTTGTAAGCCTGTTCGTGTAGGAGGTTAGATCCATGTTCATCGAAGAGCACGAAGGATCCACGAATTCTCCTGGAAGTCGAAGTGTCGTTCCATAAACGAGTTGAGCCGCAGTGTATCCAATGTCAGCTTTCACTGCATTGCGGATACCTAGTAAGACGAGTGGAAGAGCGTCGGTCCATTGTGAAACGTTTGCAGCTGATAGCGAAGCTTTCAGTTGTCGGTGAAAACGTTCTACCAACCCGTTTGCTTGGGGATGGTAGGCGGTCGTTCGGAAGCGAGTGATTCCTAAAAGTGTGGTCAGACGACGGAAAAGATCAGATTCAAACTGACGTCCGCGGTCTGTAGTGATGGTTGAAGGGCAACCGAAGTTTGCTACCCATCGTTCGACGAATGTGCGGGCCACTGTTTCAGCAGTGCTGTCCTTGATAGGTACTGCTTCTGGCCATCGAGTGAAACGGTCTACGCAGGTTAAGAGATAAGAGTATCCATTTGAATCTGGTAAAGGTCCTACCAAATCCAGATGAACATGGTCGAAACGAGCATCGGGAGTTTTAAACGAGCCTAAGGGACATTTATTGTGTCTGATAACCTTAGATTTTTGGCAGCTTACACAGGAGCGTGCCCACTCCCTCACGTCTTTATTCATGCCAGGCCAGCAAAATCGTTCTGCTATAAGCTTGATGGTTGCACGAACACCTGGATGAGAAAGTTTGTGCAATGTGTTGAAGACATTGCGTCGATAATGTTTCGGCACGATTGGGCGATCCCTACCTGTAGATGTGTCACAAAGTAAGGTTTCCTTACCTGTTCCCATCTGTTTGATGCGTAGTTTAAGTGTTGTGGACGATAACTCGTGCTGAAGATCACTGTCTTCTTTTTGAAGCTCGGCGAGTTTAAGAAGGTCGATTCCTTGGAAACTGTTCAAGGAAGTTATACGAGATAAAGCGTCTGCAACTACATTGTTTGCTCCAGAGATGTGTTGAATATCTGAAGTAAACTGCGAAATGTAGTCCAGTTGTCGAGACTCACGGGGAGAGTACTTGTCAGAAGGAGAGCTTAACGAGAAAGTGAGCGGTTTATGGTCCGTGAAAAGAGTGAATTCACGGCCTTCGATATAGTGTTGGAAATGCCGTACAGCACAATACATAGCTAGGAGTTCCCTACCGAATGTGCTGTACCTCGATTCGGTGTCTAGCAACCTTCTAGAGAAAAATGCCAAGGGTTGCCAGGAGTTGTTAACCCATTGTTGTAAGACTCCTCCGATTGCTGAGTCGGATGCGTCTACTGCGATGCTAATGGGTGCTCGGGTGTCCTGATGTGCGAGCATTGTTGCTTTAGCAATCAGTTCCTTGACTGTGGAGAATGCTTTTCGTGCGGTGTCGTCCAAATTAATGGATTTCGCATTTCCACGAAGTTGGTCGGTCAGAGGTTTCATAAGTGATGCGCATCTGGGTATGAAACGTCTATAGAAACTTACCAGGCCGTTGAACGTGCGTAATTGCTTGACGGTGGTCGGTTCTGGGTAATCCAGAATGGCCGCCACTTTGGTTCTAAGGGGTCGGATACCTTGAGCATCGATAGTGTGTCCCAGAAAGTCTAACGAGTCGGTTCCAAATTGGCATTTCTGAACGTTTACAGTTATGCCATGTTTTTGTAATCGTTCGAAAACAAGGTCCAGATGCTTGAGATGTGTTTCTCTGTCCGGACTTGCGATTAGACAGTCGTCAACATACGCGTGTACGAAGTTGAGACCTCGAAAAACGTCGTCTATGAATCTTTGGAATGTTTGAGCAGCATTCCTTAGACCGAAAGGCATTCGCAAAAATTCATAGAGTCCGAAGGGAGTTATGATAGCCGTTTTCGGTATGTCGTCAGTAGCCATAGGGATTTGGTTATACGCTTTAACCAAGTCGATTTTCGAAAAGACAGTTGTACCTTTCAAGGTAGCTGTCAAATCGTGAATGTGAGGCAACGGGTAACGATCGGGAATGGTTTTCGCGTTCAATCGCCGATAGTCACCAGTTGGACGCCAATCGTTGCTGTCCTTTTTAGGGACCATGTGCAACGGAGATGCATATGGGCTACTTGACGGTCGTATGATTCCTAAGTCCATCATGTGATCGAATTCGTTTTTCGCTAACCTTAGCTTTTCAGGAGCTAGTCGTCGTGCTTTAGAAAATACAGGTGGTCCTGTAGTCGTGATGTGATGTGTAACATTGCTGGTTACACACGGTAGTTTCGTTGAGTTTGTTGTATCCCAGGGTACTTATCGAGTAGTGGTTGATAGAGTGGGTCTATCATATGTTTAACTGTGACTGGGGATACTCTACAACCAGTAAAAGAAGTTACGCAAACGGACAAATTAGTGTTTCCGTCTACTAGCCTCCGTTTGCGAGTGTCGATGATCAGATTGTGGTGTTGTAGAAGGTCCATACCAATGATTGGCATAGAAACATCTGCAACGACGAAAATCCAGTGGATGGGTTTGCGTAAACCCACGTTAAGGTAAACGTACCTTTTGCCATACGTAGCGATCGGTTTTCCGTTTGCCGCCTGTAAGTTTAGGGTCGATTCGTGAAGTCGGTCGTTAGGATTTGCTGGGAGAACGCTAACTTCTGCGCCAGTGTCGACGAGGTAGCGAACTCTCGTTGTCACATCTGTGACGAATAACAGACGGCTTTGTTCGCCGGCTACGGTTGCCGTTAACGCGTGCCGGCTTGGAAGTTTCCCGAATCAGTCGGTTTCGTGTTGGGAAAATTGCAGGGTTTTCTGCAATTTCTGGAAAACTTTCCATACTGGTTATGATACCAGCACCAGTCGGGGTTATCTGTCTCTCGTGGTCTAGAGACAGATCGCTTACGAGAAATGCTTCTACGTGGTGTGCGCGATCTCTTACGGTCGGTACGAAGACTAAGATAACGCGTGAGTGTGTGACATAAGTCGGTTATGTCATTCTGAGTCGTGTGAGGCTTTTCTTTGACTGAAAATACCTCGGTAGTAGAAGGTTTCGTAATTTCTAGAATGCGGTCGGCAGATACAGCTAGTTCGTCTAAGGCGTTGTTCTGGAACGAGACCAGAACTGCTTGCACCTGTTGGGGAAGTTTTGACAAGAAGAGTTGTTTGAATAGACCTTCGTCGAAAGTTCTTGGGCCTATAACCTCTCTCATCCGTTGCAACATGTCCGTCGCAGAACCGTGTTGCAGGTCGATATTGTTGAAGAGTTGATCTAACCTTTGTCGATCGGTTAGGTCTCCTCGTTTAAGAATCGAGCGTTTTAAGATTTCGTAAGGATCGGAAACATCACTAGTAAACATACTAGGTGTTACGTACCTGTTGAATTCCCGCGGCAGTGCCTTGACTACTGCGAGGAATTGTGCACGTGTGTCGATCACGCCGTGCTCGGAAAAGTCGGCTTCTGCGTAGCAAAACCAGGCTTCGATGTTGTCGGGCCAGAAAGGCATCAGTTGAAACGAAGGTGGGGACAAGGTCTTAAGCTTGAGTACTTTAGGTGTCTGTTCAGTCATGATGAAATATGAAGTACGATAATGAACGAGGGGAAAATATATATATATATCCAAGAAAAACACGAAAAAAAATCACAATGTTTAAAAAAAATAAAAAATAAGGCAATGATATATAAAAATCCCAAAAAGGAACAGACTCACAGTTGCAATAAGGTGTACCAGATCACGACGGTCTCACCAATGATGATGTCACAGGTATTCAGTGTTTCACAACGCTTCTACCAGTAACACCTTCTAATATGTTTCGTTCCCACCAAGAGAAATCAAAAGACAGAGTCGAGGAGATCGGAAGAGTATATTTGGCGATGACCAATATACCGGGATTCTCTGATCTAATCTGGCTAGCGATTGTGGTTGATGTTGAGCACGGCGTTACTACACGTGATCTGGTGCGGATGCCTGACCGAGCGCCTTCAGCTAGATGAGTCCACTAAAACATATGGTCAGCATCCAATGTCGAAAACTTACAGAGCTATTTATTTTAGGGATTTATTTACCGCTACAATGCGGTTGGTCAAATTGAACTACCGATTTTCAACTTCAACAAACTACCTAATCAAAAACGGTAGCCTTGGGTTTGGTCTGACCCATACTCGATGGAAAGTAAATGTTTTGAATATTTATAAGTCATGCTTCTAAAACTGTCATATATGACGGTTCATATCCTGAAATTTTCTTACATATTCCTGTGTCAGTGAGTCGTTTCAGTTGATGCTGTGATCATTTTCGATTGTTCATTGTGAATACAGGTTCAGTATTATATGAAAGTTATTTTTCTCGCTTTAATCTAGCATGAAAATTCACAGGACTCAATCCCAACTAAATTTGTACAAGAAGGTTGAGTGGTAGGTTTTTAAAGAGCTAGTAGCTGGTTGGGATTAGTAAGGAATGGGTCAAACCACAACTCCTTAATCTAATGAAGTTCCAGTAATTTAGCTCACAAAGAGTCATGAAAATCACTCATTAACAACTTACCACTCGTTTATTAAAAGGTTTTGGTCTTCTGTGGCTGGTTGTTTCCCTAGAGAAAATCCATTTTTCAGTGATATTTCCCGTTAAAAAAACTGTTATTTGTGAGCCAGATTTCAGTTAGTCGCTGGTGCAACTGTGCTACGTTATTTATACCCTTAAGCCATTTATGAAGACAGTCCGAAACCAGGTTGCCTTGTAAATTAAAAAGTTTAATTAACTACTGTGAATTTGGTGTTCATCTTGTTGTGTCAATGAGGTGTGGCAACTTAAGCCAATGCATGTATGTGTCTAGTCCTGAGTCGTAGCTAACTGAATGACTGTGGTTTTTGATTCCGATTGCCTAATGTTTCAGTAGAGAAATGCAGCAATACTAACTGGCAATTCGCTCTTCTTGAACAAAACTCCACACCACGCTACCATTCAAATGATAATTCTACTGCTTATGTGTTGCCTAAAAACACTTTTACTTTGAGTTTACCAATTGCAGTGCAAGTGGTTACGTTTATCCTAACATTTATTTATGATTCATTTAGTAAGCCATAAGTGCTGTGTTGCGCAAAATATTATACAAAGAGTCAATAGCATGAAATTTTAGTAGTGGTTGTCGGAAATGTTTTACCTGGAATCATGCTTTTCAAGTCCAGGATTCGAATGGTTCGGGACCGCCCGGTAACATCTTGTTAACCTACGGAGATAATCCAAGTTGTAAATAATGAAAAATAACTGTTAGAAGCTGTTGGGACCACTTGAGTTGGAAAAAGATTGTTTACTTCGCACTTCACTTTTGGGTTTGTTTCATATTAGGCATTGTGAAATCTATATTCAGGTGTAATAAACAAAATTTATTTCGCTGTATCACTGGTTAATTATGAAACGGTCCTCAAAAATACTATCATTATTAATACATTCAGATCTAACCAGTGTGTCAGTTCTGTGGAAATTAACTTGTGAGTAAAATGACTCACAGCAGATGTATTTTTATTACTGATGTCTTGCTAAATGAAGACTCAATTCAATTTCCTAGCCTTTTTTAACAACCTTCTTAAGATGTAAATACGTATCACAAACGAATGGAAAAAATTAATTTCACGTCATTTTCATTCCAACTGATTAGGTTATTACTCGTCATATCAACTACTTTGTTATTCGAATGTGCACGGCGTTGATACTTTTATTTGGCGTTTTCGGACTTTCGTATTACTGATTTTTTTATTCGTGCTGATGCGGATCTGTCAACGCTCTTTTGTACTAGGATTCAAATTTCTCAGGCATGAATGATTTACTTATCATAATCCCTCATATTTAATAACACTGACTTGTTTTTTAAAGTATTCCTAGTCTTCTCAACTATCAAGAAATCTCGTGAACGATATAAGTGAATTGAAGTAGTTTCTATGATCTTTCAGTGTAAAACCTTGGTAACTGGATAACTGTCTAGATGGGAGTAAACTACTAATCAATATGACATATAATCACTGAGTATAATACTCACATGAAGCACCAAATAGGATAGCGGGCCACCGGTATTTTCTCATCTCTTGCTAAATTTTGGCGATAAAATTGTATTTTAATTTTTATGTGGGTGATATCAAAGGTGTTATATGCAATGCGATCACCATTTATTGTTTTTATGAATACCTATTAGGGTGCCACGGTAATCTTTCGCTGTTCACAGCTCCTCACAATGACCTTGGAAAATCCATTTACTGATATTAACTTATCGTATTTATGTTGTCTTTGTGAGTCATTAGTCAGTAAGAGCCAGTTTTCTTATGATGAGGTTATATGTACTAATTTGTCTCATTTAAAATGATATACGAAACCTTTGTTTTCTGTGCTTATGTTCATTCAGAACAAAAGGTGAAAACCGCTGAGATATTTTAAACTAGATTATAAGGATTTATTTGACCATCGTTCTCTTTAGTTTCAGTTCGTAACAAAAGTATTATCTTTGGAAAAGACTCGACAGGTTATTAAACTGAAGAAGTGTTATATGAAATCTGGTTTTTGAAGAAAGATATCTGAAAGAAAACTGTTAGTATATCTTCTGCCTTCTTTATTTATCAGTCTTTGGTGTTCAATCAATGACTTGGATGTATTTGGTTTTTGAAATTATAGGCAAATTGTCAACTCGAAAATACATAGCTGTTTTTTTTGTTATTAAGACCTAATATAATTTATTCTCTCTCAAAACAACTCTGTTAACAAAATTTGTCTTGGAAGCCCGTCGCTGAAAGTCTCTGTCGTTAGCGACAGCAATCATTAATCTTATATAGTTATTCTTTTTCAAAATTTAATTTAATTGTTTTTCGACCTCTTTGAATTTAATTATTTGCTGAGTTTTTATTTTACTTGTAGGTCAGAAGCTTGATGGTCTTTGTCAACCAAAAACCAAAAGATGGATTGGAATTACTGTCGGAATACTGGAACTATTTTTTTTTGGAGGATATTACTACGGTTTCAATTCCCTTATACCAGCTTGGAAATCATTAGGGATGTCTGCATATAATTGTAGTAATGCAACGAACACCTGTTTATATGATGACTCTATATTTGGAAATGGTTTTATTGTTTGGATTGTCACGCAAAATTGTCTTATTTCATTCTCTGGTATATTCATGGATAAAGTTGGATTAAGGGCTTTAAAGTTGGTAGCTATAACCATGTATTTTGTTGGAACACTATTATTTGCCTTTATACATAGGGGAACAGAACCATTGTATTATATTGCCGGTATATTGGTCGCTATAGGGAGTACTTCAAATCTTATATGCAATCAACATATCACTTCGATGTTTCCAAAATATCGAGGGTTCGGAATATCTCTTCTCTCTGGTGCTTTCGACTCTAGCACACTAATAGCATTTATACTTTCTGAAACATATTCACAGTTTTCATTACAGAAATCATTCATTATACTAGCGATTGTTTCTATATGTGTTGGTCTATTCATGGCTACATTTATTTTAACCACAAGATCAGATGACATGAGAAAATTTGCAAGCAACTTTAGCGATGTTGTAACAAATGAGAATGATGGTGAACAGGAGAAACTGTCTCAAGGATGCGTCAGGGATAATAATGAAAACACGGTAATACTTTGTAGACAATATGATAACTTTGATAATTAAATCAACTTGTAGTTTTTACTTTCCAATGTTTGGATGGCAGGAACTAGGAAGGATATTTATCACCTTGTAAACTCCAATTTATAATAGGAATGTGTTTTGAAGTTTGTCGAAATAGGATTATTCACATAATTTTTGGTAATTATTCAGCTAGATTGAAAGGAATATAAATGGATCATCGTTTGTAGACTGGGTGGTTTGGAATTTTGTTACTTTACACTACAATTACTTACTTACATCTGTTACCCCTCGTGGAGGAGCATAAGCCGCACACCAGGACTCTCCACCGAACTCTGTCCTGGGCAATCCTTTTCAGTTCTCCCTAGGTGCTTTTCATGTCTGCTTTCACTTCTCAACATAGTATAATCTTTGGCCTTCCTCTTTTCCGTCTCATCCCAGGATTCCAAGTTTCAGCTTACCTCGTGATGCAGTTTGTTGATTTCCGCAATGTATATCCTATCCAACTCCAGCGTCTTTTCCTAATTTCCTCTTCACCTGGAATTCGGTTTGTTCTCTCTCGCAGTAGGTTGTTGCTGGTAGTGGCCGGCCAATAAATTTGGAGTACCTTACGTAGACAATTGTTTATAAATGCTTGTACTTTTTTATGATAGTTTTAGTGGTTCTCCACATTTCAGTTCCGTACAATAGAATTGTGTTGACTTTCGTATTGAAGATTCTGACTTTGATGTTTACTGACAGTTGTTTTGAGTTCCATATGTTCTTTAACTGTATGGATGCTGCCCTTGCTTTGCCGATCCTTACATTTACACCAACATCTGGTCCTCCTTGTTCATCGATGATGCTGCCCAGGTACGTGGAGGATTCCACATCTTCCGGAGCTTCTCCATCAAGTGTGATTGGGTTGATGTTCTCCGTGTTGTATTTGAGGATCTTGCTTTTTCCTTTGTGTATGTCGATGCCTACTGATGCAGAGGCTGCTGCTACACTAGTTGTGTTCATCTGCATTTGTTCGTGTGTATGTGATAGGAGGCCTGCTTCGGTCTGGGCACCCGGGCAGTATCACAGCCCACACACACACAGGTATGGTGTGGCGCATATATATTTGTTGCCCTCTTGTACCAATATTTATGTGTTGAAATAAATAAAAAATAAATGTGATAGGAGGGCTAGGTCATCTGCGAAGTCCAAATCGTCTAATTGTTTCTGAGCTGTCCATTGTATTCCGTGTTTTCCCTCAGATGTCGAGGTCTTCATAATCTAGTCAAACACCAGAAGGAAGGGGAAGGAAGAGAACAAACAGCCTTGTCTGATTCGGGCCCTTAATTGGAATGCATCTGTCAGCTGTCCTCCATGCACGACTTTGCGCTGTAGTCCTTCGTATGAGTTCCGTATGATGTTGACGATCTTTTCAGATACTCACACCAAAGTGTCGAAGAAGTTTCCATAAAATCCTCCTATCCACACTGTCAAATGCCTTCTCATAGTCAATGAAGTTGATGTATAATGATGAGTTCCACTCGTCAGAGTTATCTTGAATTCGTTAAGTTTGTCAGTATTTCAAAGGAACACTGCATTGAACCTTCGTAATGATGTTTGTCCGGCTGTCCATTATTTTTTTTTAGCTTCAGTTTCATGTTGGCTACAGCCAAGTGGTGATCTCCTTGTTCTTACGTCTTTCATTGTCCTTGTGAACTTTTTATTGAGGCAAATATGATCTATCTGGTTCTTCGTGGTGTGATCCGGTGAGACCCATGTAGCTTTGTGTGTTTGTGTGGGAATATTGTGCCACTTATGACCAAGTTTTTAAATGTGCATGGATTTGAAAATCTCTCCCCATTTTCGTTTCTCCCAGTCAGTCCATGTCGTCCCATGATATCTTCATATCCGGTGTTGTCCATTCCGACTTTGGCATTTAGGTCTCTCATTAGGATGGCGAGATCCTTTCTTGGGCACTTCACTATGATTGATCGCAACCTCTCATAGGACTGATCTTTATCGTTGTCGTTGCTATCATTGGTAGGTGCACAGCATTTCTTTGATTCCCTCCATTGTTTCGATGGGTGCTATGGTGATTCTGGATCCATTAGATTCCCATCATATAAATGCATTTCGTGCTTCTTTGAAGAGCATCAGGGCAACTCCCTGAGTGTGTGGGGGGATTTTCCTTCTCGTGACTGAAATACAACAGTATCTCTCCCATATCTAGCCTTTGCTGTCCAACTTGGGTCCAATGACTCGCTGATTCTGAGTACTGTCAAGTTGTGTCTCCTCATTTCCGCTGCTATTTGATTGGTCCTCCAGGTCTTCCATATTGTCCGGACGTTCCATCTACCTATAAATAATGTTGGTCTAGTTGCTAGAAGAGGCATCGGTCTTGCGACGTCCGAATAATCTCAGCTTTCACCCGGAGGCGTCATAGTTCTTTCTTGAACTCAGGGGGCAGAGTTTAAACGGTTTGATTTGTTTAATCTGGTTCGCTTCTTTGCTGACAAGATTCTTTTCTATGGGATGAGGTTACCGACCCCATGCCCAACTCTCCTTCTTTACCCGGGATTGAGATCAGCAGTAACTCTAGAGGAGCTACAGACGGAGTTCTACACTACACACTTGATTATTTATATTCTTTTTCAGTATTGATGATATGTGGACTTTTGAATTCTTTATTAGCATTCATAAGTGAGTTTTAGATGTCTTTAGATTGTTAATACATTCTATGTATGGGCGACAAGAAACGTTCTGGTGACAACCGATTATCTAATACTATCAAAGATATATCCTGTGGTTTAATGATATTAAGTACCTTAGTATTAGTATGTGGGGTTGATGATTGAAGTTTACAAGGAATTGGAATACCAATACAGGCGAATGATCCTAATGCTGTCAAACAATCTCTCTAGTGACTTAGATGTAAAACCTATTTCCGGTATGAATAAGAATTACTGGATGGTAGATGCATTACTTGTCATTTCTCCTCTAGCTACGATCCTCCTAAAGTAAATATACATTTTTATCATATCTCCACATACAAATGGTGCCTTGATAATATATATGTTGAACATTATATTGTTAAATACACTTTGTGAATGAAATAAATTTCATTTGAAAGTTACGGCGATACTACAACTTATGGACGAACCAATCAGACATAAGATCACAGGTCTTGGATTTTAGCGCAAAATTCACTCATCCATTTGGCTAAATAGCGTTTTTGCATTTTAGTCGATATCAATTCGTGATTAAAGCCCTAAATCCAATTTCTAACTGTAACCATTAACTGTTCATCGTTTGCGATGAACCAATATTTATGTGTTCAAATAAATAAATAAATAATAAATAACCATTAACTGTAAATCCTAATTCTATTTCCTCACACTAGTTTGTAACTTATTTAGTCCTAGTTAGTAGATGGACGTTCTCAAAGGTCGTCCATAAATTATGGACCCACTGAAGTTGCTTATAAAGTTATCTTATGAAAAAATGTGAGCTACCATTCGGTGTAACATGAGTTTTAGCATGGTAAAAACTAACAACATGGACACTGGTACTTTTTCTTCAGTATCGGTGTATTGTAGAAAAAAATAATTATAATAACAGTGGTTGATCAATGGATTTGTAATTATTTATTGATGTTTATTATGTTTGCTCTCACTTTAACTGTGACTAAATGTTTCGATTGAATCTTGAAAAACAGCAGATAAATGTTCAGTAGATGAGTTCATCAATACTGTTTAGAAGTTAAATGTCCAAAGTTTCCTTCCTATGAATGTTGTCAAATGATCTCATTAAATAATATTGATTGATAATATTACCTGAAAAAGTGACGTGATGATTGCTTGGATTGAAATACAAGATGAATATAGTTAAGCCTATGTTATGCTGATATTGCTATCAATACAACTGTTGCTATTAGTATTAAGAACAAGTTTGCGCTTGAGTTTAACACACCAGTTGAAATATAAACTTCACTAATGAGAAACATAAAACTTCTCATTACAATTTAAAACTATCGAGGCAGATTAAAAAGTAATTGTTCATCACATTTTTATTTTTAACTGATCATGATCTTTCATGTTTGACTATTTACTTTCATTTCTAGCCATCATTGGATAAAGAGGCAAAAAATATTGAAGTATCTAGAAGAATCAAAATGATAATAGACCTCCGTTATCAATCAATAAAAGATTGTATAATATCGCTACCATTCTTGCTTATTACAATATGGTTTATGCTTGGATTATTTCGTTTTTCAACATTTCTTGGACAATTACAACGTATCATAAACGAATTGTTTCCAAACGACATAATAACCATTGATCATCTATTGCAAATTTCATCAGCATTTTCAATGTGTGGATTTTTAGCCGCTCCAATTACTGGTTTCATAATGGATATATCGCAAGCCTATTGTAGGCGAAAAATTATGCAAAATGACTACAGTATAAATGACCAGCATCATAAAAATCAAATTTATTATACATATATATTCGGTTTAGCGCCTGCACTACTTTTTATGGCATTTTGTGCTATGCTCATAAGCTGTTTAATATTTATACCGAATCGTGTGGCTTATTATTTTGCATTTCTGTTTTTTGTTATGCTACGTTCATTGTTATTTAGTGCGTCTGTAGGCTTTTGCTTGACTGCTTTTCCTGTGCATTACTTCGGAACAGTATGTGGTATATTAAATTCAATCGGTGGTATATTCAGTCTATTACAATATGCATTTCAGTATACAAGTAGCGCAGAAATAGCTAATATTATCATAACTATTTGTTCTGTTGGCTTATTTATACCGCCTGTTATTCTGTTTAAAATGAAAATTCGGTAAATTTAGGAGGAAATCTCGAACAACAGACATTATTCAGTGTATGTATGCTATACTTTTTTAAAATTGATAATCCTCAACACAATGTACTCTCTTAATTTGTAGTTACTTGTTGTATCTGTATTTAAAGTGTCTCACGCAATAAAAAACAATGAGTTTAAAGAGTTTTTATGTAATTGCATCAAATTATGTATACCTTTAATACTACGCTGGCTTTGATACTCTTTTTGGTGCTTATCTCTTTCTTATCAATAGTGGAATTTCAATTTTCACATTTTCGTTTTCATGATTTCACATTATTCTTGCCTAATTTGTCTACAGAACGTTTTTTTTTTGAAAAAAAAAAAAACAGGATAGATTTTTTCTATTTATAAATTATTTATGCTTAATAGAATGGTCTAATTTACAGTAATTGTATATATAAGCATCATTTCATTCAGAATGATGTTTCATTAAATATAGGCAGAATAAATGTACTGGAATGTTCATCATACGTTAGAGTAATTTGCTAGATGTATTTACATTCTAGTGTTTATGCTTCCACTAAGAATCAAATGCATTGGTTACCTTGATGTAAATGCTGTAGAGGTGTCCAGTGAGATCGTCCCATTCGTTAATAAAAAATGTAATTTTACAGTAGAGACAGTTGAATTTTGGGTTGAAAAATTAGCGGTTATTTCATCATTTACCTAAAACACACGTATTCTGATCATAACTGATAGATATAATTAATTATACATTTTTAATTTCATTTTAGCGACAAGAGGAGATTACGACAATGACAATAATTCTTAATGCTTTTGAACATTGGTGTGAGCCATTTAAATAAAGTTTCCTCAATAATTTCCTTACGTCAATAATAGTTAACCAATAGAAATGACAGTGACAAACATAAAACAATCTTTTGAAGCTTATCGAACTCTTATGGGAGTTTTTCCTAAAGTTTCAAATACTGTTATTTTTAGTCCTGAGACAACTATGTCCTAATAATTCTCAGAAATGTATGTTATAGGAATTTAAAGTGAAGGTGAGTTATTCTGAACACGTCTTCAGACTTTAAAATTGATGCTATTGATAACTATTATTCATTTACTCTTCAAATGTCTCATGCCTATGAGCCTTACATGTATGAATAAAGAGAACAGTGGTTTATTTGTCAATAAATTCTATCTACTAAGATGGCCTATTGAGTGATGGATAAGCTAATGTTGAATGGGTTAGGAAGTATCTGCGTAGAGTTGTATATTCTTTAGTGATGAGTGTGGATAGAAAAATTAAAGGATGAGTCAGATTGAGTGCAATAAATGCAAAGTACAATGATAAGGTTGTTGTTGAATAAATATTTGTGAGCTACTTTTGACTAGTAGATAGCTAATGAAGGTGCATATCCGTTCTACAAAGAAAATAATTAGTTCTCATAACTTAAGTAGTTTTAATGCTTTTGAACATTGGTGTGAGCCATTTAAATCAAGTTTTACATTAGTGATTACAAGTACAAATTCCAATTTTGAGTTCTATGTGACGAACGAGTAAATATAATACACCGTATGATCACTATCATGCTTGTCTAGCACTCAATGTTAATATAATCCTATCATTTATGCCTCATTACAGTCAGTAGTCGAGGTGGATCAAAATCAAGTGCAATTTTGTGATAGGTGGTGAGAGGTAATCGACTGGGAGCCCTAGATCTAGGTTTGATTGAGTTATCTAAACCTTGAACTGAGTAGATTGTGTTCGGTGAGCACTAAGGTTCAGACATTTATAACATTGATTAGTACTCAGTGATTAATTATTGTAAAAGTCTAAGTCCGAAAGCAGAGCAGTCACTATCCACGTCTGTCAGTCCTAACATCGCTTATACGTATACTAGATGGTTTAAGTTTCATTATTAAAATGAATGTTAGTTTACTCAAGATTGCAGGTATGCTTTACTTATGAATATAAACTAGGACTAAACATAGGTCCAGGGCTTTCCAGCTAATATTTAAACCATATAACATGGAGTAAACAAATTGCATAAAGTTACAACAGACAAGAAAAATGTATGTTGATAATTGATATATATATATATATATATATATATATATATATATATATATATATATATATATATATATATATATATAATTATTTCTTTTCTTTACTTGCTTTTTAGTGAATATTGGAGTGGGAATTTTCCTACTACTGGTTTACTTTTCACTTAAGATATGTAGTAAATAAAAGTTGAAACAGTCGGTAATTGATAACTCTAGATTAACACAACCAGATGTTTTATGTTTATTACAGATTAGATTATCTGATGTTGGTAATCTGTTTATGAGTAGATAAATAAATTAAAAATTTTAATTTTCGCATAATTGCTAATATATTTATTCTACATAAATATTAGTCTAAAAGTTGAAATTTTCTAAAGTGATACAAAACAATTAACTTCAAAGAAAAATGTGAATGTTATTATACACATTCGATTATTCTATAGGTACTTCAAAACCGACAATGGTTTTTGGTAAATATTTATTCTATTGATAAGTAAATGTTTCATTTCAGTCATACGAAAAAAAAAACTTTTTGAACTATAGTTAGTAACTGGCATAGAAAATCTTTCATCTTGTGTGATTTTAGACTGATAGATGTTATTTTCAGCTTTTGACGTATTCACATTAAATTAGGGGTTTTTCATTTTTATCATACAGTTGAATGCCGTGCAGAAAAACATAGTAGTTGTTTAACTTGTTTAAATACAAAAGAATTTTGTTATCAAATTATAAATGTTTATCTATGCCCAAATACTTATATCTGTCATCAATTAATGAAGTTATTTCACCAGGTTTGCATGGCTCCATTTTGAAGATAAACCATTTTTCAATTATACAGTTGTCTTCATAAAAAAGCGTCTCAGGCAAATTCACAATAAATTAGATTATCTACATAGAGTAGTTAACTTATTAGTGTCTTCGGAAACAAGGTAGGCTAATTCATAGAAGTACTATTGATGAGCAAAATATAAATGAAGGTTTCCATTACAGATAAATATATATTCCTTAGGAAACTTTGTTCAGTGTTTATAATAATGATTACAATACAAGTGACATTATTACACTTGAAGTAAAAATCACAGAATCGTTTAGTTTCTTGCAATAATCATAAATATAAATCTTAAAGTTATTTCAGTTCTGCATATGATGTTATAGTTAGATACGTAAGCAATAAATAATGTAACTCATTTTCCTGGTACAGGTTTATGTACTTGAATCCAAGCCACATTGTTTGTATGAGATTTCGGGATACTGTCCGGTTGCCCAAACGAAGCAGCGATTCGAGTTTACAACCTAAAAGGTGAACCACGATTGTCTTAACCACCAAGTCAAGAAGTATTTATCAGAGTTAAATCATGTAATTAATGCATAATTTGACATTACAAATCTATTTTTTATTTGAACAGCTAATATCAATAAAGAAAAAATTGCGTTTTTATTCAAATCCAAGTACAAATTAATCTCTTTTTCGTTAAACCTCACTTTGAGTGATAAGTAAACTTGTTGTTTCTGAATAATTTCTACAATGTAAAAGAATAATCAAAGTGGTATTAGATTCATTGACTTTAAGTAATATTAGTCTATTATTGTTGACTCATTATTTTTGACTAAAATATTCTTACTCGTGCCTTACGCAACTTAAGTTTTTCGTTGCATCAAAAGGACCGGATCTCACCACTGATGTTGAACACTTGCTGGACGGAATAATCCGTTGTTTTAATCGTGGAAATTAAACTAATATTGAGTTTATGATACTAAATGGTTTAAAATAACAACGGAATCGACTATACTACGAACCCACTGAATCCAACTGATTGGCTTATCTCAGTATTATATTTCCAATGTGCTAATTTGAAAAATTAAAATGGTTTTTTTTTGGTGACTTGATAACACTTCTAATAGCACCATCACAAATTAATAAAATCAGTTGACTATATTTCTTGAATACCTAATTAGAAATGTATTTTAAATGTTTTTATTGATATGATACATATGAATAGCTATACGTGATACCATCAAACGACAATTATTCGTTGGTAATCAGTTACGTTTGTAGTTTTTTTATCAGTTGATTAGTCAATCACTTAGCGAGACTATAATTTGTTGATGAGCCAATCAGAAGCGTTTGAGGGATTTCAAGGTCACGGCGCCAATTTCAGTACCTGATGCTCACATACGATCAGTTTACAGCGGATTTTAGAGATGTGATAATTGAGCGGCTACAACAATTTGGGTTACTGAGAAGTTTTTTTTATTTGTGACTGTGGTAATCAAATCACTGCTGTACCGTGTGCAGACTACCGTGATGAGGTTGTCTTTCGAAGTAATCTATGTTGGAAGAAGTCTGCTATAACAGGAAATTTTTTCGCTCGATCCCGATTGAGACTAAGGCAAATCATGATAACTGTTGCGAATTGGATAATAAAAGCACCAGTCACACTGGCTGGAACCTTTGTAGATGTTACCGAAGCTCCGGGAGTTCATTGGTGTGAGCACTGTCGAGATATATTTGCAATAAAAATGACAAGCTTACATGAGTCGTTTGGTGGAGTTGAGAGTCGTCGAAATAGACGAAACAGAAGTCAGGAAACGAAAATTTAACAGAGAACGTAGTATTAAAGAAGACTGAGCAAATAGCAGTTCCATAAATGTACCTCGCAGGTCCTTGGAATGTACGACAGGTCATCCCAAAAGGGACACTTCCAACGGGTCAGAAACCGACAGGCAACGACAATATCAGTTATATGCGAATATGTGCAACTAGACACTACAATATATACAGATGATTGGAGAGTGTACAGATGCCTCCATGGACTTGGTTATGTGCATCATGTCGTTATCCACTCTACAACAGGAGTGTACACTAACAATTTTGAAGCTAAGTGGTCTAGGCTAAAGGAGTTTTTACGAACTTATCATGGCTCGAGAGGCCGACTATTATGCATGAGCTTCTCTACCGTAGGCATCACGATTTTAGAACCTCCGAACCTCTTCCTAACCTTGACAAGTTTTTGAACCATGTAGAAGATGTGCATCCACTTTAATGTATTTTTATCTATAACTGTTTCCTGATTGGCTAGTATTTCTCAAGTTCACTTAAGCTTTGTTCAAAGGTCGTCCATAAATCATAGTCTTGACAATCACTTTGCTACAAGTGTGTTATACCTAAGAATTACATCAGTTTTAGTGAACTCTCATTATTATAATTACTCTTCAACTGATTTCACAAGTACTTCATTAATCACACTCTCTATTCTGATAAATAATTCGACGACTAAAGTAAATACTGATAATATCACCACGTAACTTTAGGTAGAATATTATACAATGGAGTTCGTACGTGGAGAAATATTTCCCAGATAAGCACTAGTAATGCAACAATACTTAAATGGATCTATTATTTATAAAGAATAAATCAAAGTAGTATTCATTTGTTAAGTGCTATTTTGATTTGTTGAACGAAAGCTGAATACCAGTGCTAGTGGTATCTTAACGTTTTTGAGTTTATGATCACCTTATAGTCAGTGTTTATGATTACGATGGGTTTCGATTTCATTTCTGTCAATCCACCGATTCCGTAGTTGGCAATTAGTATGGATAAATATTAGTATGAACCACACAGCTTGAATATTATTTTGTTTTTGTTCAGGTAATTCCAATTTATGTAATGTTGAGATTGTTTCAATGATATTTGGTAAGAATTTTATCCGTTTAGAACTGTGAATTAGTCATAAAATTTCGTTCCTTATAAGTTAATACTAAATGCTTACAATTAGAGAACACCAGTAATTCTATGTACAACTTCGAATTTCAATAAATAACTTAAATAGTGTTAGTGTGACTGTAATAAACATATAGCCATCTACATAAATGAATTGATACATCTATCAACCTTTTTGGGGGTACAACCCAACAAAACTTTTGTTTTCAAAATATATGTTCTGTACTTATTTTACGGAACATCTACCCTCTCTAGTCATTCACTCAGTATATTTTATGCATAATTGATCTGTATTGCTTGAAAAATGGTATTTTATGAACATGACAGTTAAACTATAATAATGATAATAATAACAATAATAATAAAGTTAAGTACGCCAAATTGTATCCTTTTGAGTTTACATGGTCGAATATTATTTAATCACTAGTAAGAAATGTGGGTATGTTATATAATTTCAGAATAATAATATTTGTTCCGAATCAATAAGGCAACTGACAGTTCTAAATGTTGTTGATAAAAACATTCCATTGTAATAAATCACATTGTTGATTGGTAATATCAATATTTCAATAATATTCAATCAAAGGACATATTTGTTATATCTGAACGAAAATTCAATGTATGGTAACTGCTAATAGTTATTATTATACATATTCTTATTAAATAAGTATTAAGCAGCTATATATATATATATATATATATATATATATATATATATATATATATATATATATATATATATATATATATATATATATATATATATATATATATATATATACTGCAATACAATTTACCATTCTGAACTTATTCCCAATTTATCAGTTACAGTATCACACACTCACAGCTACTTTTGGCTTGATTTTGCACAATTATTATTTTCTAGTTTATGGCGTGATGCGATCTGGTCTGCCTGTATATAAACCAAGTATGTCTGGAATATACGATTCATACAATGGAGGCTGAGATTGTGTTCTAGACTGAGCGGGTTGAACTAGGCGAGAAGTTGCTATACAAGGGACCAATGAGGACTCGGAGTTGACTGAAGGCTGCCGGTACTGTTTGACGCATCGTTGATTTAGTACGGGGACAAGATCATAGAAGTTGGTATGCTGATTGGCGTGATATTTGACGAACCATAGGAGCATAACGATATTATTTATGCTTGGAAATTAAAATTTAAAAGAAGTCGTGGCCAGTGGAGTTCAACAGTGTTGGCTATGAGGCAGTTACCCACAGAAAACAATGGAAGATGGTCACGCAATATCGTAGATTGGTTGAAGTTAGACACTGACACCGTTGGATCCTGGCTCACTGGTCTAGAAGTTAAGCATTCACGCGAGACTGAAGGTTCTGGGTTCAGTCACCGCTCGCGGGATCGTGAATGCACACCGCTGGGGAGTCCCATTCTAAGGGGAAACTTCATTGCTTCCAGATTTTCAATAGT